AATAAATGAATTTTCAGCGTCATCTTTATGTGTGTTCTTTGAGGTTGGTTAGACCTATATTACCAGCTTTACGTATTGGCATAGGATATGAACACGCATGGGTTATATTTTGTTACATTTTGTATCAAACTGATCGTTTCTTATATACCGGTTCAACTTCTCAAAATATGGGAATTGTTCCTGTCCAAATTTAACTGTAGTAATTAAATGTTTACTACATTTTCATATGAGTTATACGGAAACGTATTATGTTCAAAGGGAAATTAAAAGTAGTATTTAAACTTATTTTCGGAATTTCAACATTTAGGTTTTTAACTTTTAAGTGTAAAACTATACCAGTTCAACATTTTTCAATAATAATTGGACATTTGATATTTCTAAATGAGTTAATGTTAAATTTAATTTCACTTTTTAATGATGTAATATAAGGTTACGTTACAAAAAACTAGATACAAGAGCCAAAACTATTTACTTCTTACAAAATTGCCTATAGTTGGAAAAATATGGCAATCTGAATCGCCTGAATTAATAGCAAATATAGTTTTACTATCTATAAATAAATACGATGTGGGGAATATGTCAATGAGACAGCAACCTAACGAAAAAAGACATCAAATTGCACACGGTCTATAACTATAGACAATTTAAATTAAAAAATAATCGGTAGAAATTACCCTTTTAAGATTTCTATTAAAGAAAAATGATATGATTTTCCAGCTACTTTCATGTGTAAACTATACTTTTACACCCATATTTTAATAATTTTCAATCAACTATATCGAAAAAGTAGAAATAAAGATTAAATGATGAAAATGGACTGGTCTCCTCTTTAGAAAAGTATCACTTAGATATACCAACTGGAAAGGAAAAGGGAAATACCAAAAGAAAAACGGAGAAGAACAGTGGAAATGAGACGACGGCGATGGGAATGTCTTGGCTAGAAGTAGAAGCGGAAACACAAGACAGCATGTTACGAAGAGAGCTAGTGTTGGCATTATGTGCATCAAAGATTAAGTACAGCAGATGAATTCAACATCTCATTTTTCAAAAGTACAATGAATTAGTTGACCAAATTTATTTCTAATCAGATTATGTGGAAGAGTATGATGACAAAGTCTTAACTGTCAAGTTTAAATCAGACCAGTAAGTGGTTTTCTCTGACGTCTTTGCGAATTTCAATGCATTGACTGAGCATTTATTTTTTAGTCTCTACATAGCTGTCTTCAAAGTACTTTATGCATTTGTCAACAATATGCATTGCTTCATTTTTGAATTTATTTAATCAATGCTATAATTATTGGAATTATTTTATAACATTGTATTCTGTTTATACACGATATTTTGTGATATAGCTGATCTGCAAGGTATACACCATCTATTGTCCACTTTACATCATGGCTGGATATAGTCGACGAGCAAATGCATTACTCGACTAAAGAAAGCAATATTTGTATATGCCCTTCTTGTCAGGGTGGTCTACGGCGCTTGATACAGTGCACGCGGTGATGCCACCATATCTCAAAAGCAGAGGTTCGAATCCCTCTGAGGGAAGAACAAATATTTGCTAACGCAGTAAGTTGTCAAGTCGAATGAAGAAATCTAAATCATTGTACAACTCGATTGTTTATATGTATATCGTTTTGCTCTGTGCGTTGCTAGTTTTTGTTTTTAATTATTGAAGTGCAATTTCAAATTTTAATCCTCTATTGAGATAATCTGTTTTGTGAATAAAAAAAATAATAGAAAGCGACATTAAAAGATACTGTTCCTTCAGGCTATTATTCTTTTTTAATCGATAAAATAGTAATTTTGAAATCATGGGAAATATATAAATTATCCTATAATCAAACCCCTAACAATGCATTTATACATTTTTGAAAATGAAAATATGGGTTTTTTTTTCTTTCGTTGTTTGTTACGAGATGCAATTATGATGATGAATTAGAGATATAAATGAAAAACGTCCTCTTCTATTATGTTAAATCGAATAAAATAGTCGATGGTCGCTTTCAATTTTTGAAATATATTGTCCCGGTATTGTTTGTTCTATGACATTGGCATAAAGCTGATCGATTAAACCATTTTACTTTCTATACAAAAATTATTTCAAATCGATTGAAAATTAATATAGATATACAAATAACTGAACTAAACCTCGAAATACTGTTAAATTCATATTGACTTAATAGTAATACCAATACGGAGACTGAGGTATGTGAGATTTCATATTCTCGCGTTGTTTTACATTGGAAAGGAATAGAAATTGTTATAAAAGTCAAAGTTTAATTTAAAATGAATTTGAATTGATTATTTTACCTGGGTTAATTATAAAGTAAGGTAAGATTTTTTACATTTGTATTTCTTAAAGTTAACATTTGACTTGATACGGAGATTGACTGGTTCTCTTTTATTGCTGACGATGAAGCTGTTTTTGATACAAGGTAAATTTAAATTCCAAAATAACTTAACAAAGCACACGGCATTAGTAAGTGAACCAACTGGTACAGTCGCCTTTTTCGTTGGACTTTTTTTTTTAGCCATAGCGTTGTCAGTTTATTTTCGACTTATGAGTTTGAATGTCTCTTTGGTATCTCTCGCCTCTCTTTTTCAAAATGATTGTTTTTATTTAGGATAAAATGCTTTACGACACATCGCTTACCTTGGATGCTACGACTCGCCTAATAAACGAATTGTTAACAGTTCATGCTGATCTCTTTCTATAGCTGTGCCATTTGTGATTCGATATTGAAAATAGAAAATCCGCGAATGATAATATCAAATACGATGTATATATATTATAAACCCGTATAAAGCAGGAATTAAAGAGTTTTTGTAACTGCTCTAACAAGGCCTTTTTCGTTAGGCATTCGGTCATTTTAGATGTTGCCTTTCTTCCTAAGTGATCTGTGGTTGATAATTGTCTCTTCGAATTTGGCATTTGTCTATTTGCTGGTCTTCAGATCTGAACTATATGGACGTTTCTTTATTCATAATATATGTATTTTCCGACTTTGAAATAGCTCGTAATTTGGAATAACCGTCAACAGGTGCGCACAACTCGGGTTTTGGAATGACCATCATCAGGTGTGCTTGACGCCAAAAGTTTGGAAAGCCAAAGATGAAAAATAGGGCTTTGTATAAGTCACTTTATGATTTCCATTCAAATGAAAATAACACGTTGTAAATTTCGTACTGTCCGTAGAGCCAGCGCTTTAATGGATTTGTCTTCATCAGGAACGCTGATACTCATACAACTGAAGCCAAGTGACGCTGTGAAGATTCCTAGGTATTCACTACGTGCTTAAGGACACCATGATAGTAATGTACACTGAGAAAATCGAAATTTTTTACTTTTATTTCAAATAGTTGGACGTGTCAAGGTGACCCAGAACGAATTCATTTAGTTAAAACATACTTTTTGTAACAAAACTATTACCAACACATAATAATAGATTTAAACATGCTGTCTACCAAAGAAGACTACACAATTTCGTCAAGTCAATCCCATGGTTCATTTGACGATTAACAAACAGGGATAAACCTATGCAGAATAGTTGTACTATATAGGGCAATTGTTAACAACTAGATATTGCAGTAAAGAATTTGTCAATGTTAAAAAAAACATGCTGTCAAAATATGTACAAACAGAAAGAGATTATCAACATTTATGACGCCTTCAATTCACATAAACATAATGTAAGGATAATTGACAGTATAGATAATAAGCGGATTAACACCTTTATGTAAAACGACAATTAGCACTAAGATTATATGTATAGATTATTGACTATTTTACAATTCTGATATAATGAGTGACACTTTAACCGAAAATACAAAAAAATAAAAAAAAAAAAAATTAAAAACAAAGTAACATAGAGAACGTCATTTTACACCGTGACACAAGGATGTATAAATACCCAAATACGCGAGAAGTTTAAACAATAGTTTAAACATTATTATTTCATGTATGCGAGATTCATGTATCAATGTCTTGATGTCAAGGTATATTTGTTCCGCCTACCAGAAGGTCCATCTGTAAACTTTGTAGTAAAAATTTCATTACAGTTAATTTGGAACAATTCCCATATTTTGAAAAGTTGAACTGGTATAAGAAACTTTGCTATAAGCAATGTCATGATATCATGACAGTATTACTATCATATTAGCATTGTAATGATGCCCATACTTTTCACTTCTTCGAAAGATTATTTTTTTTTGTAACCCGAATAATGTCAGTCGTTATATTTAGCTGATGTCCGACTAATCTCCGACTCGGATAGGCGATCGGCCGCTAGAGGGCGCAGAATTATTCGAGTTATTTTTTTTGCAGAAGAAACCAAATGTAATATTTTAAAATTGAAAATTCGAGATTTGTTAATAATTTCTATGCAAATTCGGTCATTTTTGTCGAAATCTATTTGAACAGTTTAAAAGTGCTGGCTAACCGTCTACTAGACACATTAAAGAATATTTATATGATTCATACAGAAATCAGACGATTTGTGTTGTTCAATACTAAGAAATAATTTATAATAAAAAATATACTATTAGTCAGTACACTTTCTTTCAAATACCTTTGTTTCTTAGCCGTCTTAAAACTATTATTGAAGCAACCGAATAGTAGTAAAAAAAATAATCGGGAACAAGGCTATAATTTATAAATTAAATAATCCTCTCTAACTTACGATATGACCAGAGATTTTAACGAAATGAAAATAGAAGAAGTCTCTACTCTTAAAATAGTGCCTATTTAAATCCCTCTTTTATGGTCTTTAAATCCGAGATAATCTTCTGTAAACCTCGATTTCTTAATTACGTTAATAAAACTCCACCATTGGTTTCATTCATTATGTTTATATGACTTAAATTCTATTGTATTGTTATAAAAAAAATCAACGGTATTTCGTTGTCAATGTTGAAAATAAACGTTAATACCCTTATGTATAGAATTTATAGACTCATTGATTAAACTTCTTATAGAATATCTTTCTTTTGTGAATTTTCTCCGTGTACAATAATAGTTAAGACATTTTTTGTACTGTTATGATAGCACGATGACATATGTTTTCTCTAGTATTCTCTTTGGATTTTTATTATAAGACACACGTGTTAAAGGATATTGATTTGCTGTTTCTGTGATGTAGTGTTTATACTGAGGTAAGTAGAAAAGATTAATATAAGGAATGGTGACAAATTTAGAGAACGTGATGTTTTACAGCAAGCTATTATTCTCAGACAGTTTACATTGAAAATATTTGTGGAATACGAAATTGTGTTAATTTGGATTGCACCAAATGAGAAAGTATATTAAATGGAAGAAAAAAGAGCACGAACTTGGCATTTTATGAAAAAATATATACACTACAGATTTGTGTACGTTACGAATATTTTCCCCTATCATTTTATTGACTGCAAATCTACTTAACTTTTATATTTATTGAAGATTTACAGATATTTCAACATACAAAAATTGTTTTTCTATTTTGTTCCATACTTACTAAATCTTACTTAGATTTTGTGTGTTCAAGTCAATTGGTTTGAAATATACACAATACGGATAAGACTTAAATTAAAAGCACTACGGGATATTACAAGTACATGTACAAGTCAGTGTACACGGCATGTATTCCTGGAATAACTTTCATCAATATAAAAGTTAGGAGAAAAAATGTACTAACAAAAATAACGAACGCCAAGGTGAATTCAAAAAAGGGGAACTCCATACGATCTGCCAAAACCAAACGCTGCACTATATCAACCGACGGAATGACTGGAAAACAGCTGTCGCCTCAGACCTGAAAATTGAGCTGACAATAACATTAAAGGTATCAATTTTATTTCACAACTTGCGCATATCGACAAGTAATATCTTTGGGGATGATTGTGGCCAAATATTTGAAAAACCAGAACTTATACAAACGTTGAAGAGCTGATCGATCAAAAGGACCTTACGTATAGCCAAATCCGGACAAGGAAACATAGCTTTGGAAGAGGAAAATGTATTCATAAATTTTAATGGATTTTCAGCAAATTTTAATCATGCAATATCCGTAGTTTCATGCCAGTACCGAAGTACCTGCTACTGGGCTGTTGATACCTTCGGGGACTAACAGTCCGCCAGCAGAGGTATCGATCCAGTGGTGGTAATAACATTAACAATACAAATTTTACTGCACCAAAATTTCACTAATCGGTCGGGCGCGATAAAAGGTCTGTTCAGAATAGATTCGATCTTTTAGATTAGTCTTGTTGTTGAGTTGCTGTTTCATTTACGTATACCTTACAACTCCTTTTGTTCATACGATATATTGTTATCAAGTGGTTGGCACATGATATTTTTAAGTATAATTCCCTTCTTTCTTCAGATAATTTCAAACTTGAATTATAATTACAAATAAACAAAATTGGCGAAAATAACGCATAGCAGAATTTCTAATTTTAGCAAAGAAAACACCACTGTCCCAGGTTAGGGGAGGGTTGAGCGCTCACAAACATGTTTAACTCCGCCACATTCTTTAAGTGCCTGTCCCAAGTCAGGAGCCTGTAGTTCAGTGGTTGTCGTTGGTCATGTCTGTCATATTTGCTTTTTGTATATTGTTTTGTTATAAATTAGGCCGTTAGTTTTTCTCAATTGAATAGTTTCATATTTTTCATGATGGACCTTTTATAATCGACTATACGGTATGGTTTTTTTCTCATTTTTGAAGGCCGTCCGGTTGCCTATAATTGCTTTAATCCTGATTATCCACTTCAGTTGGTTGAACTTTGGTGGATAGTTGTCTCATTGGCAATCATACCACATCTCCTTATTTTTATACAGTGTGGTCAAATAATCCTACTAATGCTACAATATGACATAGATACAAGAATACACCTGATATTTAATTTTGTGGAGATGATCAGTGTTCTTGAGACCAAATATTTGGTAAAACAAATATCCATAACTAGAAGAATGAAATTTAAAAATGCCTAAACAGAGCAGCCAAAACTGTATCAGATGTATATGAATTCAGTGGTTACTAACAAAGTCTTCAATAATCGGTAAATAGTTACCAAACTTTTCTTCAAAATAAGTTGTGTTAGGGATGCAAATCTAATCTTTGGTGATACGATGTATAAGAGGTACTTTTTTTTATCAAATGGAAATTGTAACAGACGGATCAGATCGCTCGTCTAGTGTTAACTCGCCAGATTTCTTTCTAATTTCTTCCTTTGTAGCATTAATATTGTTTCCCGTATCACGGAAAAAAATACCGGTTAAAAAAATCACAACTTTACAATATGAATCAAAATCTAATCTCCTGACATTGTCTTATAATACTTACTTATTACTTCCCATATATATATATTACTGAAATATAGTACGCACGAGACTTAAGATTGTTATTCATTAGATGTCGTCAACTTATTGACAAGTTTTTATAATAAAACGATACAAAACTAGATGCCAAGCTCTAACATCAGCCCGAGTATTGACAAGGTATCATAATGCATGAATTTAACAATGATTTTCCCCCAACACTTTATCTTTTACGTTTGGGACAAAAAACAATAATCTAAATAAACTAGTTTGTAAAGCTTAACGCACATGTCTTCGGGTTATAATATGAAAAAAAAGCATTTGTCGTTTTCTACATTTTATAGAATCTAGACAACATCACATCCAGGTTTCTCAAATATAGCGATATATTCATGTATATTTCAATTGACAAAGGAATTAAAACCTTTCATTGATGTATTATAATAGGTGATATTTGGTAATAAAAAGATTAGACGTCTTGATTATGATAAAAAGTCCCAATTATTATATAATAATTATACATTAATCTTCTGAATTTAATATTGAAACGTATAATGGGTGTTTACAAAAACGTAACCTGCATTGTTTATACTTTAAATAATACATAATGTTCTGTTATGTTCCATACTTATTACAATTACAGTAACAACATTTCTTATTAGGTAACCTTGGTTGATATCTAAATACTAATGTGACGAATGACAAAAGCTCAAAATGAGGCTTATTTAAAAGTTATTGTTGTTTTGCATTAAATGCAATATGTTTGAAGCCCTAAACAAAATCTAAGTCAAATTCGAAAATAACAATACTAAAATATGAGACCGATGTCTGCTGAACATCTGGCAAAAATATATTTATAGTACTTAATGATTTCCACATTATAGTGAATAAGGCCAAAACAATGGCCTCATCATACCTATTCATCACATTCTCATCCATGCCCAATATGAATTTACTTTTTAAAAGAAGTTGCTGACATAAAATTTTCGTAGGTTAAAGAAATTCACGTTGGTGACGTAAATCCTGAAATCAAAATCAGCATAAAAACACACATCTTATGAAGTACCAATAATACATATACAATGTGCATACAATTGAAATGAGCCTAGCTAATTACAAAATTTCCTGTGATGTTTATTTTTAATCTTAAATTACTTCATTTTAGACAACAACTTGAATTTCTTTTGAAATCAAGAATCCGGATCTGATTGTCACCGCTGGTAGACCGTTAGAGTACATCTAGTCACTATTCACAGCACAAGATCCGCCATATGTTCCCTTGATTAGACATTCCCGTACCTATAAGAATGGCAAACTGAGTTTCTTGTATTAGGTTGGGAAGAAACCACACATATTTCCTTAACTAATACACCAGAGTAGAAGTTCTTTAAACATAGGAATTTTTATACCGCAAATAATTGAGCGGACAATAGCTGTAGTGACCCAATGAGATTTAAGTACAGACCATGTGTCCACGTATAACAAGGATCTGACAACGGACCTGCTCTACTTTCTGTTTCGAAGACACTGCAGTGACCCAATTAGATTTAAGTACAGACCATGTGTCCACGTATAGCTTACAAGGATCTGACAACGCACCTGCTCTTCTTTCTGTTTCGAAGACACTGCAGTGACCCAATTAGATTTAAGTGCAAACCATAAGTCCACGTATAGCTTACAAGGATCTGACAACGCACCTGCTCTACTTTCTGTTTCGAAGACCTTTCGGGGTCCTATGATTTTGATGCACACCTTCAAAAATTGTAGGCAGGAATTTCATTTTCAGATGTAATAATTACCAGAAAAGAAAGTAAGACGGAGTGTAGTCAAAACCTTTTAAGCAAAGCGTGGGCACAGGTGTTCACTGGTGTTAATATGTCCTTTGATTGAGTTAAGCTATTTCAGTTGATATTTTATAGTGTGTCTTTCTATGTTGTGATGTTACACTATTGTTTCAAAAAAAAGGGTGAAGGTTTGGTACCATTAAAACGTTTAAAACCGCTGCATTTGTTTGTACCTGTCCTAAGTCAGGAATCTAATGTTCAGTAGTTGTCGTTTGTTGATGTGGTTCATAAGTGTTTCTCGTTTCTCGTTTTTTATATAGATTAGACCGTTGGTTTTCCCGTTTGAATGGTTTTACACTAGTAATTTTTGGGACCCTTTATAGCTTGCTGTTCGGTGTGAGCTAAGGCTCCATGTTGAAGACCGTACTTTGACCTATAATGGTTTACTTTTATAAATTTTGACTTGGATGGAGAGTTGTCTCATTAGCACTCATACCACATCTTCTTATATCTATACACAGGATCTATATTTTAATCAGAATGGCAGTGATTCTGTTTGTTCGGTTCCCTGTCCTTTTATTCGTCTGTCTGTGACTTTCTTAAAATACATTCACTTAGCTTCTGTATTCTAGAAGTGAATTTGGTTCTTAAACTTTTAAATGTTGAGTTGCAACGTGCAAGGTATTTTGCCCAGGTCTACTTCCTGTATATTTGACGATACTTTGAAATGTGTTATTATACCCATTCAGTATTTTACTTTTCGTTTACAATTACTCAGCTTCTGTATTAAAGAATACCTTGAGTCAAAAACTAAGTTATGAGTCTGCCGGGCAGTCAATTTCTACCTTTTTGACGATATTTGACTTTTTTAGTACCCATATGGGATTTTTCGTTTATATTACATAGCTTCTATATGGACGAATGATTTAATATTTGGAATGGAACTTTATAATATTATATTAAGTTGTAACATGTAAGCGATTTTCAGGTTTGCCTGGCAGTTACTTCCTGCTAAACGATACTTCGAATATTTATTGTACAATTACCCAGACGCTGAATGGGCTTTGTCTGCAGCGTCTAAGACCCCAAGGGTTGATATGGGTATGGACATATAGCCCTAGACTTCTCCCGTCCGGCATTAATAGTTGAACGTCCATTTGGCTATGCGGGATGTATAAATACGCAGCCACGTCCGGTTGGTATGGGTATGTTAAACACAAAGCATCGTAAAGGGAGCTTACCACGCTCTCTGCACGTTAAAGAACCATTGCAACAACTCTCATAGGGATCCGTTGGTGGCAAGGTAAGGCATCTCCCCCTATCCATTCTAAACCTACCATTTTGTTTCCAATAGAAGTCCAAATTGTCCCCCCTTTTTTCATCCCCAATAGTATACCTTTCATAGCCTTCCTATCATATTACTAGTAATTGGTAAATTGTTCTCGTCCTAAATATGCATGGAATAATTGCCACTGAGCGTTAAGCAAGCACCAATAAATCAATCATTCAACAGTTTCCACATGTGCAATATACCGTGGAACGTTTTGTGTTGATATCATTAATGCGGAGTTATGTGGTTTGATATCCCATCAATTAGACAGTCAACAAGTAAAATCTCAAGCCAAATCTTTTTATTTCACTTTCAAATATATTGATGATGTTCTTTTACTCAATAAGTGAGCACTTATATCTCATATATTTCTGTGAAATAGAAATTAAAGATACCATGGCGACAACAATGTCTGCCTTAATATAACTAGAGCTTTTCCAAATTGATGCCAATGGTCACATACAACTAGAACCCATAAAAAAAGCGACGATTTCAGCTTTCCTACTATGAACTTGTCATTCCTGAGTAGTAAGATCCAATATACCCCAGACTATGGTGTATACGTATCTTAGTTTATAAGAAATGCCAGAGCGTTTTCTCATTGTGGTCATTTCATAAAATAATGTAAATATATTTTGTGTTTTTGGATTGCTGTCTAATTGACTTTTACCCCACATCTCCTTTTATTCACATCTGAACTCAAAACCTACCTCTTTTAAATTATATAACATAGTCGTCATTTACAAGAAAACAGGTTAAAAAGATTTAATTATCTTTTTTTAGGAGGGGGATTTTGAGTTTCGAAGTGAAAATCAATTTAAACGAGAAAATGTCTATCCGATAAAAAAAATTCTAGTCTACACAGAGAAAAAAAAATCTACAACAAAAACTACATGTTTATCAGGTCACATTACTCTGCATGTTTAATGACCCTGCTAAATGACAAAAAAAATCTTTAAACAATTATCAACGGTTAGATCTAAATGTACCACTTTATATAATCTTCGTCTGTTACCTTTCATCAAAATGTAGTTTAAATCTTCAAGACGTATGATTATCGCGTTGAAAAAGTGAAAAGAAATTAATGTAAAAATTTGAAGGTAAATAATATGTTGCGTCGTATAATAGGATACGATTTCGGTTCTTAAAAAATTTGATTTATAACTCCCGGTCTAAATAAATAGTAAATTTCAAAAAATGTTTATTTTTAATATGAAAACATAAATACAATAATAAGCACCAGCTGTATTATAAGTACCTATTACATGCTTCTGTACCTCCCTTAATGGAAATAAGACAATATATATACAATTCAACAAATCATGTGCATTCTATGTGCACGATGTAAGAAACATTAATGTCTGTTTGTTGAATACAACGTTGCATAAAAGGTTTTTATTAATTTATAAGACTTTTCTTAACCCCGACCTGTAATTGTGCACTGTTACCGCTATGTTTCTCATGTGCATGTTTTTAGTCATCGTGAGTGTTTATTTAACATGAAATATATGTTCCTTTATGATATTAGATCCAAATGGAAGACATATTGTGGAATATTATTCTTGGAAGAAATATTACAGTATTTATTCCTGACGGAATAAAGGGTATAGAATATTTGTTTTAATAGGTACAGATATTACAGCACTGTTCATAAGTTTGTAGAGGAATTTATGTAAGGAGGAACAAATAGATGTTGACATATTTGCATTGTCAAGGTTCGTTACTCATGACGGCATACATTGTTTTTTAGCCTGCAATTGACCTTTCTACTATACAAATACAGGTCACATACTCTACAAATACAGGTCACCTACTATACAAATACAGGTCACATACTCTACAAATACAGGTCACATACTCTACAAATACAGGTCACATACTCTACAAATACAGGTCACATACTCTACAAATACAGGTCACCTACTATACAAATACAGGTCACATACTCTACAAATACAGGTCACATACTCTACAAATACAGGTCACATACTCTACAAATACAGGTCACATACTCTACAAATACAGGTCACATACTCTACAAATACAGGTCACATACTCTACAAATACAGGTCACATACTCTACAAATACAGGTCACATACTCTACAAATACAGGTCACATACTCTACAAATACAGGTCTCTACAAATACAGGTCACATACTCTACAAATACAGGTCACATACTCTACAAATACAGGTCACATACTCTACAAATACAGGTCACATACTCTACAAATACAGATTTTCTGTTTATAGTCGTCTTGTATCCTGCTTCTGTTGCGAACGAACGGTTTTGTTCAAATTAATGTTAACGTCATCGCTCAGTTTGCGGTCCTCATCGCGGTCCTCTTTTAAGTTGTGTCGATTTCATTCAAAACAAATTCAACGGTTGGAATGTAATAAATCTATACGATTAAGGTTCAATGTTAAATTGCCTGATAAAGACAATTTTCGTATAGTGTATAAATATATGAAATTTATTTTTACACGCTACAAAACAGGAGAAAAGCTCAGCAAGTCTCGCTTTTCTCTCTGTTTCTAAAGCTCGTACAAATAAATCTGATATATTCCTACATTGTAAGAATATTGTATAAAGACATAACTATATTTTTCAATAGGAGCAAACATGCGCTTGAATCTGGGAAAATGGGTATTTGCGATTACAATCCATCACTTTTTATACTGTTTATCTTTTTCATTGTCACCGCAGATACATTTGGTGTTTTCTTATCTGAAGGTAATGTTCTTGTCGGCAAGCGATGTCGAAATGCACGTAACGCTTTTCTTATGGAAATATGGAGATATGGTATGACTGCCAATGAGACAACTATCAACTATCAAACATGTGAAAATTTACAGGTGTATAAAGTGCCTTCAGCAATGAGCAAAAACCCATACCCTAAAGCAAACTATTAAAGGCCCCGGGGATGTGACAAAATTTTAAAAGATTAAAGCGAAAACCAAAGACTTTTTCTTTTGGAAATCATAGTCGAAATCTAACAAATATGCTTTTAATTTGCCACTTTGGCATTGAACTTGTCAATTTAGATATTATCTACAATGATATCTTGTTTGTAACATAATTATATTTTTATAAATGCGTCTAGTTTTGAAATTCTTTCTTTCAAATTGAAATTATAAAAGTTGCCATTTTACCGTTAGATTGATTTAAATAATTTCTTTCTATATAATCCAACTAAGATGTTATCTTGTCATTTTTTTCTTGGCCTTTGTTATATTGATGTTAACCTCTTTCGTTTTCAGGGACGTAGTAAAGATTTATCAATTTAAAACATATATTACTAACAAGGTCAAACAATGGAAGTATTCAAGGAGGGTAACGAAGAGACTTTTGAAAAAAGATCAAGAATCAAACAGAATGTTCGTGTTGTGTCACCGTCTACGAAACATAAACGCATACTATCAAGACATCATAAAAGTTCCCATTATCTGGACAATCGCATATCGTCAGCTATGAGTTCTGATTCAAATAAGATTCCGCCGAAAATAGACCATCTAAGAAAAGAAATTGCTCGGCGTGCATCCACAGTGCCAAACTTTTTAGATTGCTATGACTTGAAAACAGTGTATGATGAGGCTAATTTACGAAAAAAATTCAGAGAAGTTGTTGGAATTCGAAATCACACGTCTCCAGCAGTGCATCAACGCATAGACCCCGGTGCGCATTGGAAAAATATTTACAAACAGCTTAATATATCTCAGTACGAAGTGGAGGATACGTTGAATGGATTAACAGAAAAAGACGAAAAACAGTTCGTAGAATATATGAAAAAGAAACAACATGGTTCATCGTCAGGTCTTTGGAATATGGCGGCATGGTCTGTCTTTGAATACAGGGCATCAAGAGTGCACAATATAGACGATTTGGCCATGGCTATATTATCTAAACAGATGGCAATAAAAAAGATGAGAGAAAAAATTTCACGAAAATTAGAGTTACCAGTTGACAGATTTAAGCGCATTGCTCAACTTCGTCAAAATGTAAGCTTTATAGAACAAAAATTTGAGAACATGAAACAGATAAGACCCAAGAAAACACAATTATTGAAAACAATGCATTTGTTTGAGCAAGCTGGTACCAGCAACATGCCGTCCAGATTCACCAAACCAGGAGAGGTTAGTACTTTATATGTCTTTGAATAGGATTTTATTTTTATGTTATAAACCTCTGATTATTCCACTATCGATCTCGATCGCTCACCTTGAAAATACATATATATGCATGCTACGTCTGCTTATTATTTGTGATACAAAATGAAGTTTGATAATAAAAACTATCAAGAACAGAGACATGTATATATGTCTCTGGCAAGAGTAATCTATATTTCCCCCAAACATATGTAGTTTAATCTCCATATAACAAAACAGATATTTTATTAGTCATTTTAAAGTTTCACTCCGATAAACTTTGCGTTGAAAAAGAATTTAGATATTGATATAGATGTTATTGAATCTTTAATTACTTATTCAATTTGTCATATAAATTCTAATTCTGGCATATTCATAAATTTAGTAGAGACTAAACTGTATGCCAAAAAATAATATAAAAGGATTACCTGTTTCCATTCAAAAGGCACTTTAAATGGAGTGTTCTATTCATTAGTTAATGAAGATATAGTTAAAGTCAGTGTTTTGAAGGTTGTACAAACGTATACAAAGTCACAATGCTTCTCAAAAGGAAGAGATAGTACGATGCACATGAAAAATGTAATATTTTTCGGTGTTATTTTCCTTTTCGGTTAGGCCGTGCTCGATTTGCCTCTTTTTCGCATATTAAAAAAAAATTAAATTAAAAAAATCCACAACTTTGCAGCGCAGACGACAAATAAACAATTGATCATCAGATTTCAGTTAATTACATTGAATTAACCTTTATTTGATAATTAAGCTTTATACCAATACCAATACCAATACCAATACCAATACCAAATAAAAACCAAAACGTTTATTATGGTGACAAGTGTTTTACAATATTAAACAATATATCAATAAGCGGTTGTAATTACATTAAGCTTTAAATACAAATTTTTATTCATATTATAGTTAAAACAGTCTAGTTTAGACAGAAAAAAATCTTTATCATTCTTGACAATAAAACAATTTTATAACTATAAGGATATTCAATTTTGAACCTTTCAACAAGGAAATTTGAATTTGAATCACAAAAAAAGCTTTCGAATATACAAAGACTATAATTACAATGCAATGAAAATGATCTATAATGATTAATTGATGATAACAATTTTGATTTAAAAATGTGAGATCTTTAAAAATGCCAGTCTTTGTAAGAATCAGGCAATTTAGAAAAAAATCAAATCATGGCCGAAAAAAACCCACCAACCTAACCACCCTATTTTGAAGGTACCCTCATCCTGAGTTATAAATGGTAGGTCTTTCGTTTCTGCGTGTCTGGTAATTCGAGAAATATTTAGATAAATTTTGGTTAGAATGATAGCAAATCGCAGAGTTATCTCCCCTTAATTGTTAATTTCTAGTGCATTTCAACCAAATTATATCTTGAATTACCAGAACAGAGAAAGGAAACGAATGTTATATTCATACACCATTATACATTATGAACTTGAATTAATGTAAATCTGAGCGGGTTTTTGTTTATCATGTTTTCACCACTGTCTGATTCTATGGCAGATTGGCACTTTAAAATTATAAATAGGACAATAACATCATTTACGTAAGATCTAAATGTCTTGGTGTAGAAATCATGCCCTGCATTTGATAATTTGTTTTTGAAATTGTCACCTGGAACTCATTTAGGTGTTTTGCATTTTATCGGGTGTTCGGATTTTCCTTGATTTATGCAGTTTCATCTAATTAAAAAAAAATATAATGTTCGTAAATGCATGAATGTTTACAATAGAAGAGGGAATGGATGGGGGTTTACAGCAAAGAGAATATTGGGCAAAAAATATAAAGAATAGAGAAAATGGACCAAAAAAACTAAGAATAGAGAATAATGAGGTGCTACATGTAAAATATAAAGAATAGAGAATAATGGGCAAAAAGTATAAGAGTAGAGAAAAATGGCCTACAAAATTAAAAGAATACAGAAAATGAAGGACCCAACCCAGACCCTCATAGAAGGCATGGCGTAAATACCAATACGACAACAAGACAATGACACAATTTCAACAGAGAGACAGCTAGAAGTAAAAATAAGATCTTAACCAAGTTATTATAGCCTAATGTCAATATCATATGTTCAGGCATAACATATCACCAATTTAGACTGATTGTTAATAATTCTAAAAAGAAAATACCGATAACATTATTCCAGACTTGTATCTTATTTTAATGATATTTATTAATGAATTTAACAGTTATAGTTTATTTTTGCAAATTACATGGCTGTAGTATGTCTTTTGCGGTTCCAGCATTGAAATAATGTTATTCTCTTCTTGTATGTTAAACCATGTACAATATTAAAAAAAGTAAGATGATACCAAGAGGTTAAAAACAGAAAATTCACAATTGAGTAAAGACAAATGTAAATAACACTACACATGCTTTTACAACTTAACAAACGAGAACCAAACTAAAACCTACTAGTAATTCAGGAGCTCCGGAGGGGGTATAGCAATTCCTGCATTGTTGTATTCGTCACATTTAGAGTCCTCATGTGATACATTTGTTACATGAAAGTTTTACACTAAAGGCATTGCTTACCATGGTAAAAAGTTATATACATAGGCTTCATTCATGAATAATTTTCAATTGCAGGCAAAAGCTTTCTTCCGGAAATTTGGAAGGATTGTTTTAATCGTGCTGAACTGGATCTTTCTTATTATGGAGTAAGTTGTTTTCATTATTATAAAAAAAATTGTTGTAGAAACTTTGTGGAAGCTATCACTTTGCGAACCTTTTAACATATCGAGATTAAACAAGAACCGTGTCTATGCTTTAGTTTATCACTATAGTTATATTTGCCTATTTGACAATACACTGATTCAAAGCTTTATAATGATACTATAATTATGATTTGAAGATCTAAAATCTGATGTGTGCGACAAAAAATAATCTAGTAACCTTATGCCAAAAGAAAACAGTGCTTAATGTTAAGTTGAAAAATACTTTGTGAGTAAAATCAAGCTGATCATTTATAAGAGATAATGTTCTATCGTCTGTTGAAATGAGAGGTGTGTCAAATTACTGAAAACTTAAACAAAAGGTCTGTATACACTTTCATTTGTACAAATTTACCACTTGAACACACCTTACAGCCTAGTATATCACATTTCATCATCATGCCATATCGGCCTTGTATCAACCCAAGACAGCCAAAGGCGACATATCAGCGCTTATATCAGTCGAGGTAAAATACTAGGGCTGAAAAAAGAAAGTTATGATTTGCTGATTAGTAATTATTAATTTGTAGGCTCATTTTATACTTATTCTACACTGCAGACTGAGGTATTTTTTTTAATTTGTGTTATGATCTTAAACATGGATAATAAAAAAAATTCTATCATTATTTCCTGCTCTTTCGAAATTTGCAAATAAAATGATATCTACATCAAATAGGATAATTCGCTGTCATTCAGACAGTACATTTGTCTGTTAATTTATCTTAGTTTTAGATTAGAAAAAAAATATTAGTGCCTAAGGTTCTATGCATTATTCTATGTTGAAAACAACGAAGGTTTGATTTTTTTGGCGGTTTTAAATGGCATATTGTGAACTTTTTAAAAATCAAAATAAAAAAACAATAACTGATTTTAGTTGACCCGCTATGTAGCATGATGTTAGCTAATATGTGATATTCAATAAGCTTATTGGTTGTCAGTCCTTCATGAACTGTCTTTGTTTATCTCCTTTTGGTATTCAAGTTTTAATACCTTGTGTTTGTGTTAAAGACTATTCTCCCTTTTATGTAAATTTACTGTTGCCTCGATGTGGTATTGCTCTTGAGTTTTTAAAAGTGTTACATCGATGTGGTATTGCTTTCGGTACTTTGATAACTGGATATTGTCTTGATACTTGACTTGCTTCTGCATAATCATTTTTCCTTATCAAACATATAGTTATGCAACAAAATGCTTGTCAGCACAGAAATAATAAACTGATACGCATTTTGGTTAAAAATTTACAGTAGCAGTGAAAGTTCAAGGTTAGAAAGAGAATTGAAATCCTTTGTTGACATAGCCCAAGAAGCGGTGATTGCAAAGACATCCCAAGCCATGGCAGAACAAGGACTATCATTTGATAAACAGGCATACAAAGCAAATAAAGAGGTAATGTGTATATTGTCGTAAAACCGAATTTCACTAACAGCATAATAATGTGGCCCCTCATGGGAGTGTCCAAGTAATCGCATAATCACAATTTTTTTGCCAATATAATCACATAATAATTAATAATTTTTTTAAACAAGATAATCAAATAATAAAAAATACCGTCCTAGATTACCAAATAATCAAACAATGATGAAGTATTTGGTTTGGTAATCAAATAATCACTTTAAAAACGGCCAAGTAATCACATAATCAAAAACCCCACGAGGAGGCTCAATAATACTAGGAAACTTGCAAATATATATACATTTTCTAGGATAAGAATAAGAATCGCACTTTTTGCACTTTCCAGGGTAAATTAATACATGTGCAAGTCTGTTATAACAATAAAAAAGGTCTACTGTGTGTGTTTCATTTTGATTCGAATTTAGAAAAAAGAAACTTGTAGCCGTTAAATTGAGATTAAATGATTTTTTAACACCATATCTTGTCACGATTACAAGTGTTGTGTTATATTGTCAGACAGGTGGTTTTTTGTTACATTTGTACATTGTATGTAGACCGATGTTTAGTGAGAAATAAAGTTATTGATCTAACAAGACATTTTGAAAAAGATTGGTCAAGTTAATGCATTATTTAACAAATAGAATACGTGTATGATATTACGGTGTAATTAAAGTTTCAACACATAATCACTTTGTATTTTAAAGTAATGAGAAACATTTATAGAGCATACATGTTTATAAAGTTTTTACTATAGATATGAAGACACTTTTCCTCTATACCACCAACTTTTGAACACTCATTCCCATTTTCTTCTTGTGAATTAGAAGATTGCCCTTTCTATGTGTTTTTTGACGTGTTTTGTTAGCATGTGTTACTGAAACTATCAACTGCAGCCTCCAAAATCGTATGTCGCTCATCTAGAGCATGTGCTGACTCGAAATATTTGTATTATAGCAAGTTGTTCTCAATGCATTATTTGTAAGCTAAAAGCTTATATTGATTTCATGGATCACCTTGTAAATACCATTTTTAGGTACGCAATCAAATAGATTTGCTATGAAATGAACTAGTATTTCATTAGAGATTATTGTGTTATATAGTGTTATAGGAATTATTGAACTAATGCATGTACTATATACTAAGCTAATTCCTCTGTGGATGCTTTTTGCATTTATTACGAGCCAATAACGTACAATCGACAAACAAATGTTTATTCATTTATTGTTGAAGACTTTGGTTGCTAATTAACTTTCGGGTTTTGGTGACGAAGTTTAACGATCGTGACCTTGATTAACAATTAATACAGAATCACGAGATAATAGAGTGATGTTAAGTTGCTTTTAAATATTTTCCGTGCGTTCCCGTTTATAATTAAACTTTGTGATACCAATTGTTAAATGATTCGGTATATTAAGCTCTGTTCTTTAAGAATCAGGTAATCCTATCTTTTTTTCTTTCATCGCATGTTTTCCATTTGCAATTTTCACGAGAAGACGAGAAGGTCACTGCATACTGGAAAGCTGTTGGCGAATTTATGTGCGGGAACACAATACTTCAATAACAGTAGATTTGTGAAGATTTTGATTAACTAAAGGATTTACTTTCAAATCAAAGTCTATGTACACGTGTTTGATAGTAAATCTTAGCCATTCAAGTATATAAAACATATTCATGGTTTTTGTTACATTTGAAGGATCATATGACCTTAAGCCATCAAAGATTTAAAACAATGACCAAACATGAAATGTGAAGAGAAATAATTACATCATCCCCCTTGTTCACGCAACTTTTACTTATGAAAAAACTCATCAACGATACTAGGCTTATAACGAAGCAGTTAAAGAAATCAATTGCACACATATATTTCCCCGAAGAATCCCATTTCAACTATCATTTGAATCTTAGATTTCGGACGGAAATAGACGAAAAACAAAACTTTGTGAAAATACTTAAAAAAAAAAATTGTGGCTGTGCGTTGTTTAGTGATAATTTTTCATTATTATAAACATTTAATCCGTAATGGCACGTAGTGGAGCAAACATACGGGCCAACTTATATTAAAATACAAAATTTACCTCGAGTAATCTGCAATAAGTTGTTTTTGGTCTACTAGGATAATTTACAAAAAAAAATCAACATTCTTGTTTTATCGGACGACCCCATAACTAAATATGATTTTTTTCTACCCTTTTAAACCTTTTGTGGAGTCATCAAAAGCTGTTGGTCCTGGTTTATAATGAATAATAGTAAATAAATCAAAAAGCAGGGCGTCATATTAGAGTCACCGAAATGTATAGCAAACGGTATTTGAGTGAGGTCAACGGACATAGCACTAAGGCACTCAGGGATTTCTTTCAAATCTGATTCAATTATTTCATAACTGAATTTCCAGGACTGTAAATGATTTGTGTAACAATAACATTTTTTATTTTAAATTGTAGATATCTTTAACACAAGAACATAGAAAAACACTGACAACGAGGGCAAGCTTCAGGACACAAGATATGGTTAAACAAGTAATATATTATACTATCTTTAAAACATTAATGGACATTTTTAGATCATTTTGAATAACGTATTGGAATTTCATAATTCGTATATTTTTTTCTAAATTCATTTTTTGTGACAGTATGCACCTATCAACAAGTTTTTTTTTCTAAAAAAGAAATAAATTATTTGCTAAAAAGAGAAAGAAAAAAACCCAAAACAAAACACACATACAAACGAAAAAAAACCCCAAAATTCACACACACACACAAGATGAGACACGAGAAGAAAGCAAAAACAAATTCTCGAAGAAAAATTATTTTGATTTCAGATACATGTAGTTATATTAGAGATCACGAACAAAAGACCATATATGTAGAATCTTATTTTAAAACTTGTCTTTATTTGAATTGTGTCTGAATGACGCCTCCCAAATATATTCATTCATATATACTGGCAGACAGAAATTAGAAATAATCAAATATTTTAAAAGGCAATTAAGATATTAAAATTGAAAAAGAAGATAAAGAGCGAGAGAGAGAGAGAGAGAGAGAGGGGCAATCTTAGGAGAATAAGACATACATTGATTTCTTTACCAACAGGTTATGCATGGCTTACAAGCTTTAAAATCATTGGCTGATTATCCTCTTCGGACACAAGAACGACTATGTCAAGTTGCATGGTATCAAACGTATGTACTTTATATATTATTAATATATTATAGTAAATTACATATTTAATTTTAAGGTTTGGATATCAAGCCATTGTGTTGTTCTTCATTGTTTAGTTTTGTGAGTATCTTGTTAAGAATTAGATAGTAGTTGGTTGCTAGTGCAGTCTAATGAGCTGTCAAATGTAGTTTGTGATTACTATTGTATTTTATTATTGACAAAATTTTTTCCCGGTAAACACGTGCCTTCAACCAAGAGGCATACAGTTCCGCTAGCGGCCGTTTTGAACTTGCAGTGCGGTGAGAGTTTTGTTTATCCTTGCTAAAGGCCTTATTGTGATTGTGAGAGGATGAAATGCAATTAAAGCGCTGTCTCTTTGTTTTTGGTTTTGACATATGCGCTGTGAGAGTTTGTGTCTTTCTACAATTTTTTGCCTTGGTTGGTATGTTCAAATGGATGGATGTGTTTAGATAATAACTGTTAACTAGTATCGCCTGTTATTCTGTAAAAAAATAGTTATCTTCGGCAATGTTCGCTTACAGTCGTGTTAAGAATGATTGGATGATTAAATAAATAAAAAGAATTGTTTACACAAAAAACATTGATAATCAATATACTTAAGTCATGGGTTTACTATCAACGAAAATATATATCTTATATCGTTGTTTTAAAATGCAGTAAAATGAAATTTGTGTAAATGGAGTGTTTTGACAATGCTAGTAGTCTTGAAATTTATGAAACCAAATTTTAAAGTTATGATTTTTTTCAGACTTGGTCCCAAGAAAGTTATATTACGAGAAGGCCACAACGCAGAATCATTTTATTTCATTTTAGCTGGCACAGGTTTGTACTGTATACCATTTAAACTGCAAACGGATGAGATTGATTAAATTCAGACATCAAAATGTCAATAAACAGGGTATTGTTCAAATAAATAAGCAGATCAAATAACAAACTATCTAGATACTTTAATAAAATGTGTATGGACTATAAACACTACCCTTTCTTTTTCCCTGTAAGAATAGTTTATTTATTGTTATGTTTAGAAGAATTTTGAAATAAAAAATAAAGAAATATTTGTTGCTAAACCTTTTTTAAGTAAGGGTAGATGACCATGTATCCTCAGATAAGTATTAACTTATCTAATCAAAATAGTTTGTGTTAATTTGATATTCAATTGTAATTTATCTTTTGTATGTACATACCCTTAAAAGTAAGACTTATGTTTTTGATACGTGAATATATACAAAATAACTTTTATTCATTAAAGCTTTCGTGAAGAAGATGGTCAGAAATGAAAGAACCGGGGAAACAAAAGTGCAAGTGGCAGCCAGATTGACCAAAGGACAAAGTTTTGGGGTAATGTCAAGGCTTAACACACTCTTAATTTCACCTTGATACGAATATATCCCTTCCACAAATATATCCTTAACTGTATATCAGATGATATTTGATTTGTAAGTCTTTCACAGAGTAGACAAACAAATATATCCCAAACTTCATATCAAAATATAATTGATTTGCATGTCTTTCAAAATGCAAGCAAGCAAATATAAAGAAGATCAAGTGTAGGTTACTAGGTTCATAAATAAAACATTCATTTATGTTTAGAATATAAGGAAATACAATACCGGCGTCCTTTTCATCTTCAGATCAATATATCAAGTATTACTTGAGAACGTCAGCTGAGCAGGACATTCTATTCAAAAGTAAACACACGTATTATAAATCTAATTTGTTATTATTCATATATTTATTACAGTTTTCATGGGAAGATGGGGTAATGTAAAAAAAAATCCTTAGCCTGTGTAGATATTTTTGTGTTTGTATATTTTTTGTGTTTTTTCTTTCTTATTTTAATAGCATATTTAGAGATCCTAAAAAAGTCAATAAAGGTTCTTTTTAATGTATATAGTTGACTATAGTTGTATGGTTGTTGAAAATCGAAAAATAATTAGATATTCATTATCTGAATTTAAAATTCAAGATTCGAAATAAGATATTAGCAATGCAATATCAAAAATTTTCTTGATATTGCCGAAGAAGGGCTCTTAAGGTAGTATAAGGGTATAAAAAATACAGAATTTTGATACTTTGCCAAAATTAAGTTTATATCGAGTTATTTTCAAAAAATATGTTATTTTACCTAGCTTGTTTTCAATTGGTTAAACAATTACCCATTTTGTAAAGATGATATGCGGAAAACATTAGTATGTGAATAGAAAGAAAACTAAATGACATAACTTCGAAATAAGATAAGGACTACCACTTGAAAACGAATGTTCAAAGGCCAAGGGTTCATTTCTGTGCAGAAATCTTGACAGTCTCACCCAACAAGTCATTGGATTAAGCGTATTAAGCGTTACAATTCCGACCGAATAAATAGCCGGCTACCTCCTTATTTGTTAATTCAGTTAATACCGAATTTCGAATATTGAATTATTTATTTTTTGCACTCGTGTATGTTAGGATTAAATTGGAATATTTGTAATAAATTGGGATACAAGTCAAAATTCATAAATGTCCACTTCAATGAAATAGTTTGTATGAACAGATTAAACGGATGTTCTTGACGTCAGGCTAAATTAATATATTTATAGAATTGGACAACATGGAAAACGCATTCGAGTTAGACATTTCTGTCATATTTTACCAAGATCCTGAAGTTTTTATTTGTTTTATCAGTACTTCAACTTAGCTTGCTTTTAGTTATTGTATTTTATTATCAATTGCTTTGTCATATAGAATGTTACATTAACCTCAAAACCCTGATCTCATTTCTCGGTTCACATTTTGTCACTTGTGAGGAGCATTTAGATGATCTGAATCAATTGATACAAAATTTGGTGACTATGTTGAACGAATCTATCCCATCGAACTAGAGATAAAGGATACTACAGATACAGTTAAGTCTGCCTCATATCTTGACTTACATCTAGAAATTGACAATGAGGGTAGGTTGAAAACAAAACTTTACGACAAAAGAGATGATTTCAGCTTCCCAATTGTGAACTTTCCATTTATATGTAGCAACATTCCAGCAGCGCCTGCATACGGAGTATATATCTCCCAATTGATACGATATTCCCGGGCTTGTATTTCCTATCATGATTTCCTTGATAGAGGATTGCTGCTCACAAGGAAGCTATTAAACCAAGAGTTCCAAATGGTGAAGTTGAAATCATCCCTTCTTAAATTTTACGGACGCCATCACGAGTTGGTTGACCGTTATGGAATAACCGTTTCACAGATGATATCAGATAAGTTCCTTTTGTCGTAACTACAATACCCTTCCCTTTTCACGAATGTGACCTACCGAATTAGACTATTTACCGGATTTGTAATAACACAAGCAACACGACGGGTGCCACATGTGGAGCAGGATCTGCTTACCCTTCCGGAGCACCTGAGATCACCCCATGTTTTTGGTGGGGTTCGTGTTGCTTAGTCTTTAGTTTCTATGTTGTGTCATCTGTACTATTATTTGTCTGTTTGTCTTTTTATTTTTGGACATGGCTTTGTCAGTTTGTTTTCGATCTATGAGTTTGACTGTCCCTTTGGTATCTTTCGTCCCTCTTTGGTATATCAAAATGTAATAATTTTCACCAGTAAAATCTCCCATGTCCCGTCAAAGAAGTGCCAACTTGTAACGTACCAGACAAGACGACCCATAAATTTTATTTGTGTTTTTGTGTGTTTGTGTCTGTTGAAAGAAAAGAATGTCGTCATTACCCTATCTCAAATTGTATCGATAACTCCACTTCAACATGCATATATATAAATACATTCAATTGGTATTTATTCAAACTGCAAAATATTTTACATGGGGAAATCTAACGAATCGTCTTAATTTATCATGATTAGTATCAAACAGAGTACAGTGTTATGTAAGATGCAATTTAAATAGGAAAAATTATTCTTATTGCATGTAAAATGCAAAGTTCGTACAGTCCCATGAATCCAAACTATATACACGTATGAATGGTTAAAGACAGTGATGTGAGTAGTTTCATTTATCGGCTGATTAGTTTTGTTGAAGCTTACTTGTTCGATTCAATTCCCGTACCTGTAGTGCTGTAGATTTATTTTAAGAACTATAGCATGTAGATTAACTCAAACAGGGGTAATTTTGTATTTTATTTGTTTTTATCAGCAATTGATTTTTTTAAAATTCAATTGAATCGACTTTGATATGCTCTACACTAATAAAAATGAATAAAGAAGTATATTTACTGCCATTTAATTCTATTAGCTCCATGCTGTTAGACTTTAATTTTGTTTGTTTGACCTGTTGTATTAGGTTGATGTGTTCAGACATCGCCACTTTCTTTATGTTATTAACCTTGCAAACACCAGATACATTTTAAAAAAGTTTTAACCAATCAAAGTAATAAGATAGATTACTTATATTAACATTTCACATAGCAGTCTGTAAATAGTAAATTGCATTATGATTAAAATACAATAAAAGATTTTCTAATCGTAAATACATTTTAGGTTTTAATGGCCATTTTGATCTTAACATTTTGATCTTAACATCATCTGAATCTCAATCTAAAAAAAGGTTAAGTCTTGTAAAGTGTAAAGTTATTCGTCAATCATTTCATTGCTGAGCAGCTTGAACCCCAACAAAAACTAGGGGATCCGCAGGTGTACCAAAAGGGTAAGCAGAGTCAAAACTATTAACATCAATTTTATCAGCAATCAAAGACAGGTCTCAGATTAATTTTGAAACTAATAAGTGACCTCATTTTGTTGGACCGTTATGAAATATCTGTTTCACATATGACGACGGATATGGTCTAATTGTCGTAACCACAAATACGTCCAATTTTTCCTCGTATGTGACATCCCAGAATTAAACTAGTCAGCAAATTTGTATTTATATAAATAACACGACGAGTGTCATATATGAACAGGATCTGCTTAGCCTACTGGAGCAGCACTCTTGATCACACTGGTTGCTGGTTGGGTTCGTGTTGCTCAGTTGTGTTTAGTTTTCTACGTTTTGTTTGTAGACTTGTTTGTCGTTTTGCCGTTTTGTATGCCATGGTGTAGTCAGGTTGTCGTAAATAAAGTTAATCTAAAAAAGTATAATGATTATCATTGAAATTACATCTCCTATGAGGAAATCATATGACTTGGATAACATTATAAATGAGTTTCAAAATTATTTCAATTGAAGGAAATCGGTTTGATATTCAACACAAAAAGAACAGCAACAGTTGAAAGCACGACGCCAATGGAATTATTAGTAATCGGTAAAGAAGACTTCAATGCTATATTCATGAAAGCAGATGACCAAGATGAAGAAGCAGAACATGTAAAATTTTTAAGGTAATGCAACTGGGCTTTTCCTTAAAATATGTCATTAAGTTTCAAATAAGATCCTTAAACTTGATTAACTTATACATGTATACACTTGTATCTTTATTTCAGTAAATTTGCTTTTAAATTGTTATCACCGATTGTTCATTAATTATATGTTTCATTTTTTTTCTATGTAGGTGGAAATTGTTTTTATTTTAATTTTTGTTTGATAAAGTTATTTGAAACGTTTTCGAGAGAAAATTTTATGAATTTCAAATGGATTTAGTTCCTTCACTGATATTTGAACTGCATAATGTATCACACGTCTTAAATTTTTTTCACAGACAAGTTCCTATTCTGTCACAATGGCCAATTGAATGTTTGGTCAATGAACCGGGAACATGCGTTCTGCATTATTTCAAGTAAGTCAAAATACACTGGTAGAATCATGACAACAAACAAATTTCCATCCATCTTCTTTGTACTATATTATTTGAGTGTTTACTTTGAATGATTTTTATCTTCTCAATGGATTTATGAGATTTAAACATAAACACTACTGTTGTCTCTTAAATATCAGAAACCTGACATTCTTCGACGACATGCAATTTTTTTTTTATGTTTGCAGAATCATTCATTCCTTTTGATCTTGTTACTCAAACAAATACATAATTTATCGGTGTTTGCTCATTCCTTGTTATACATTTGGGACGCTCAAAGCCGAAAGTTGAAAAAATATGCGAGGAAACATAATATACGATAAGAGACAAAAAACAAAGCAAAGGCATTTTCAAAAGTCATCTTTGCTGAAGGTATTGCAATGTTCAATGACGACTCAGATGTTATAGAAAAACAAAGAATATGGGTATCCATCCATGACACAAAATCAGTACATGCACAGCAGAAACACACAAAAAGCAAAGGAACAGCGCTTTTATTGCTGTTCTTCATCTCAAAGTCACAGTGAGGCCTTTAGTCTTATTGAATGTCCTTCAGCAAATTGAATGAAAGGTAAAACAAACATGCAGTAGAAAAAATATTGTATAGCAGTTTGGACAAAATGATAGTTTATTTAGCCCGGTATCTTGCCATATTGTTCAAGATTGCAATTTGATTCTGCCATAACATGGCAGTAAGCTATGAATAGAACCCAGATCAAATGCCAAATAATAATAATATTCATCAGCTATTTGAAAACATGATTAGATTTCAGAAATTGCAAAATGATGATTTTGATTATAATGATTGATAAAGTCATACAAAAGTATAAAGCTATATTTATTCAACCATTAAAAAAACTATGTTGTTTTGTTCATTTAAGTTTTAAGATTTTTGAATTTGTGCTACTAATTTCATACAAGAACTTGTATACCTTTAAGAGAACATATAAACCATGTAGGCTTTTTTCAAGGTAAACTGTATGTGATATTTAACATTTGTGTTTATTTTAACAGGCGAGGGAGTCTTATTACACCAAATGGTAAAACAAGCGAATGGTTATATTGCGTGAAATCAGTAAGTATCGACATATGACTAAAGGGAAGCAAATCTTTCAAATTTGTAAAAATGCAAATTAATGATCGTGCAAGTAGTTAATTTGTAGACAAATGTTAATATGTAAGATGATTCAAAATAACGACTTTAAACTGTCGTGTCACTTCTTAAGTTTGATAAATTACTTTCTGTTCCATAGGAACATATTCAGCAATGACGTTCTTATAATGCAACACATTTTTATTCATGATTATTAAGCTGTCAGACTATGTTTCCACGAAGTTTCCATTCAGATATACATTTGATTTTGCTTTTCCATTGTTGTCCATGGAAATAAATACTAGTACTCTAATTTTGAGTTGATGCAATACACAAGATTATTGCGAACAATAACTTTAGTCCTTTTAGTCCTCAATGCTCTTCAGATTCGTACTGTATTTGGCCTTTTAACTTTTTTACTCGAGCGTCACTGCTATTGTTGACGAAACTCGCGTTTGGTGTTCAAATTGTTTAGCCTGGTATCTTTGATGAATTCTTTAAAAACGGTTTTCACGCCCACGATTTGGTTAATTAATTACTACGAAGAAAATGGATATTGATAGAAAAGGTCTTAATACTCTGGAATAAGCGTACACACCTTTTGAACTATGCATGATATAATTTACACTCAGGGAACATGTGAAGTGATGAAGGATTTGAAAGCAGCAAAAGCTCGGAAAGCTGGACAGAGCTATATTCATCCAGATCCCGTCAGTGATATTATATTACCTGAATTAGGTATGAGTGCATGTAAGTGTTTGAATTTCTATTTTAAATGTGTGGTAGTGTTTTATTGATTTATCTGAGTTATGTAAAAGACTACAGTTAATATGAAATGACACGATAATTAAATGTCTACATTATTTGGACGAAACTATTTAAACTAAGAAATAATTGATATTTCCCTTAACATTGACAAAACATTTGTTCTAATATTGCTAAACAAAAACACTTTCACGAAGATTATATCGTCCATGGTACATGTTAACCCATTCATATCAAAACTTTTCTAATGTTTTCAGCACCAAGGGTAGACACTGGAATTGCTCATAAACGAAAATTTGTCATGACTCCAGAAGTATTTGAAGAAATGTCAAAATATTATGAAAAATTGAAACAGGTAAATGGCTTTAAAATCAAGTTTAGATATAGCTACACAGATTGCACAATCAAAAAGCTAGATTCTCGATTGAAACATCACTTATTGCATGCTTTACGTTTGAAACCAAATCCATATATATTTTGAATCCCTCAATAAATGTAGTGACACCTTAGTTGTGTTTTAGTTAAGCATTTTTTTCATTGATTAGTTTTAGATTTATCCGGTCAATCAATAAGAGTGCAAATATCATGCATGAATACTGTAACAATGTTCCTGTCAAATACATTTTTTTACACAATTCATGTCGATGTGAGAACTATAAAATAAGATGACATTAGTTTATTGATGTTCAAATCTCGTATATCGATCAAGAAGGGACAAATCCAGGTACCAAACATAGGGAATCGCATTACCTCCAAAAGGAGTGAGACCGGGTGCGTCGACAAGGAAAGGGTATCCTGCTATGTACTCATCTGCCACCATACAAATTAACACTCGGTCTTAGGACACAATGGGTAAAATTACGAATCAGATGACCATACTGATATCTAAAGATAGAAACATGACTATAGCGAGTTGAGACACCGACAAATCGTAGTGATGTTGACCGTAAAACCTATGCAATGTCGATTTCAGTCGTTCTTTCTCAAAACTATGTTGGAACAGTTTATGGATAAGGAGCACACCCATTATAATAAAGTCCACATAGTGTGAAAATGCACGAGCGAAACGTATCAAATAAGAAATGTAAACATCAGAACGTTTGTCATAGATTTTTAGTTGAAGTTGTCAGTCTGTGTAAATATCGAGCAAGATATCAAGATATGAAGCAGACATTCTACTTTTTGTAGTATCCTTAATCTCAAGTTCACTGGGATATATGAGATGTTATCACGCATTGGAATAGGTGGGTTATTGAGTGACTTATTATTATCAATATACCTGCACGTGAAATTAAAAATCTTTGTAAGATGCGTTCGCTTTTTGTCTTAGAGAACATTCTGCATGAATTCTGCTTCATATGAGTAAAAATCAAGTCGGCCAATAGTGGTGCAAAATTATTACCCATTGGAATACAAACTTTCTGCTGAGCTCATCAAACTAATAAACTCGGCAAACCTGTTGTCGATATGCCAGGAGGAATCCTTTGTTTCCTGATTCGATGCATAATAGATAGTCAATAGTTTAAACAAATTTATGTATCCTGAAAATTGTATAAATGTAAATGAGGATTTTGATCTACCACCAAAATACAAATTAGAAAAGAGGGGATGGACAAGGGTAAGGGAATGACAGGAGCGGGAGTTAGGGGAGGGAAGCGGGAGTCAGAAGGGAGAACGGTGGAAGTGGGTAGCAAAAATAGGGATATGCTGGAAAAGTTTTTTGACGGATTTTGTCTGGGAGTAAGGAGGAGGAAGTGGGAGTAGGTGAGGAAAGTAAGATGGAATCAGGGATCCCTATCCATCCCTCAGAAATGCAATTATTGTTCTTAAATAAGTAAATATATACTTTTTTGTAAGTTTTAGAACAACAGTTTGTTATCTTACTGTGTATTCATTATTATTCGTTGGATACCAATTTTCGTGCATTTCGTGGTCACAGGGGAACCACGAAATTAAATGTTCAACCAATTACTATTTTTCTATAGGAATGTATGCAGACTTTTGCAAAAAAAACCAAATCAAATATCTACGAAAATGCAAGTTTTCCTATTTCCACGAAAACTGATACCCCCGAAAAGAATTGAATCCACAGTATAAATTGTATATGTATTGCAAAATCGGTTGTGTTTTTGTGTCCTGCTAGTTCATGTAGTTACATTACAAAATATATGACTTAAAATTCCCAGACATTAAAAGAAAGGAAGACAGGTGATCAGGAAGAAGAAAGAGATCGGAAAATAAAACAGAAAAATGAGACGAAAAAGAAAGAACAAGCGGCAGCTTTACCTAAACTTGAGCTAAATAATCAATTAACTTGCATAAAAGACGAAACTGACAACAATGGTACAACATATATCACTTCTGTTAAGAATAGTGATGTTCTAGTTATGCCTCCAGTACATTCAACGCATCATGGTTCTAAAGGAATTTCTGCTAGCACGTTCAATGACCGAATGATATCTTTGTTGAAGATGAAACCACACTACGTAGGTGCATTAGTATTATCGTGGGAGTTTTTGAAAATCTAACTAACCACGGTTATTAACACTTTCCTATTACAAGGCTAACATTTACCTGTAATTCCAACTCGAATCATCGTTTACCTCGCATATTATATCATATTATATAACCTTTAACAAATATATCAAGATGTTGCATTTATATGTGTTTGCTTTATAATATCTAGGTGCATGCTTACTAATTTCTAAATGCTTAGATGTTTTTCTTATGTTTTATTCATATGTTTAAACTATATCTAATGTTATAAAATTCTTAGTTTTGTCTTTAAACTAACATGTTATTTCTTTGAATAACATATAAACCTATAATTGCACGCATTTCTAAATTAAGTACATTGCATGATTTAGACTAATAGACTGAAATGATATATATATGCATTATTGCTTTTGTCGTATTATAAGGCACTGTACGCAAAGTATCGGATGTTAGAATTGATAATTTTGTGTTTTTGTTTTGCTGCTATAGTATTTGTTTAGTGATTATGTTGTCAGGAATAAGGGTTTTGATTTCTCAGTTCACAGAACATTGGATTTTGATAGTTAGAGAGTGACATGGTGTCCTAGGAGCTCATATTCTTGTTTATTGTCTGAGAATGCATTCATCATTAAACAAGTTAACTATTACTAGACCAATAAAAATGAAATGAATTTAAAAGTAAAACATGTAGTTGGGACTTAAATCGCAACACAAATCGTATCAGCATATAAGTGAAAAGTAGAAATTCGTTTACTATTGAAGACCGTATGTTGACGTCATTAGAGGTTTATTATCGTCGTGTTGCTGTTTCTTCGAGGCATTCCCTGCATCTGCTTTTATTTATTTTCATCCAAAAAGTGTTCTTATGCCTTTTCTTAAATATTTCAGTTTTATTATTCCTTTTCAATGGTGTCATAATGAGTGGAGTTGCAATGATCCCTTCAAATACAAATGTGTTTTACATTAAGTATTTTCATTTTTCATCATAGTGGTTTTACGATAAGGAGAGCTGCAATCACCTGTTCGGAAACAATTGTGATTTATTAAACGTAAATATAAATAAGAAGATGTGGTATGAGTGCCAATGAGACAACTCTCCATCCAAGTCAAAATGTGTAAATAGTAAACAATTATAGGTCAAAGAACGGCCTTCAACACGGAGCCTTGGCTCACACCGAACAGCAAGCTATAAAGGACCCCAAAATGACTAGTGTAAACAATTCAAACAGGAAAACTAACGGTCTAATCTATATAAAAAAAGAAACGAGAAACACCTATGAACCACATCAACAAACGACAACCACTGAACAGGCTCCTGACTTAGGACAGGTGAATACAAATGCAGCGGGTTTAAACGTTTTAACAGGCGCCAACCTTCAATATAATCTGAAACAGTAGTGTAACATTACAATATAAAAAGAAACACTATACAATATCAATTGAAATGGCTTTACTTGATCAAAAAGACATATAAACAAAAAAAAGGTAAGCATACACTGAACGAATAAGTTTGATCTATGACACAATATAAATAAAATATTAATAATAAAGTTTTAGAACAATGTCAAAAAGACAACTCTAAGTGGGACAAAATGGCGTTAAATAAAATAACGTACACAGGTAAATTTAGATATAATAATTTTGTTGTTAGGAGTACGGAAATATTTTTTCAAAATAAATAAATTATATATATTTAACATCATCGTGGTTTCATAGTAAGGAAAAGTGCAAAGATCAGTTCGAATACAATTATGTTTTACATCAAGAACATATTTTACATCAGATGTTTCCAACAGCATCAATGATTGAAAAGGAGGCTCCCTTGAAGAAAAATGTTCCAGAATCAGAAGAAATTTGCACAGTCAGAAAGAATTCTGTATTTGTACATGTACAGTTACTTCAAGCTAAAGATGTATTTGTGAGTACTATTACAATCATTTGTGGTTAAAAGGAACTCTTAAAACAAATGTCTGTAGTTAAGTATTGTTATTAATCACAAGCAAATGGCCTTTGTGTAGTCCCCATACTGAAAACACACTCATATAATATATAAACCATATCAAACATACTGAGCACAATTCTTTACTGACATTCTTATGTTGTCAATATAATGGAATTTTATGCAATTGTCAAACAAGTGCGAGGTTTAGCTAGCTATAAAACCAGGTTTAATCCACCATTTTGTACATAAGGAGATTTTGATAAGGCCATTTGATAAAGGACTTTCCGTTTTGAATATTTCTTGGAGTTCGGTATTTTTGTTATTTTACTTTTTGCACACTGTTTTTCATTGCATACTTATATTTCAGTCCTTGTATGTATGTCAAATGCTTACAAACCGACACTAATTATTGCAATTAGAACTAAATAGATTTAAAAAAATATTATTAACCCGAAAAATATCCTCTATACTGTTTATCTGCATTTTGGTCATAAGCAGAAATTTGAACAATATTCACATTGTGATTCTTAAATCACTGTTTTAAAATTTCGACAAATGGAATGGTTTCAAATCACATCTTTTAAAATATGTTACTTTAAAACTACTCCGATGAGAAAAATAAACGAATGAAATATTGCATCCATTAATCATGTCATTTAAAGTCGTTTGGAAACAATTACACAACTTCATTTAAGGTAGTATTTGACAACGTTGGCAAGAAATCGAAGGATTTTTACCAAAATAAGAAAAGGCCAATTGCGCTAATACACCTCTATTACCCTATTATTCCTCAATTGACGCCAGGTAAAAAAGGTACTCTACATTAATGTCGTTTGCAATCAACATGTTTAATAGATTGACCTCAGGGGGAAGATATTTACCAATAGATAGATCCACCTCGCTTAATTATTTAGCATATTGAAATGGTTGTAAAATAAAAGTGTTGCTTTTGTACACATGCACTAAATAATATAAATTTTATGCGTTAAAAGTCTAAATTTTGCCATATAAATAGAAATCCCTGCCCAATTGGGAAACTTTTTCCAACCTTCAAAAGATAGTTTACACCTCTGTTATGGTCATCCGACTTTTGACTTTTGACTTTTGCTTTTGTTAATTTAACTTTATATTTATTTCCAGAAGCACCATATCAAAATCATGAACTAACAGTTCTCTCGAAAAGTCGTCGAACTTATTGACTGTTCAAGAAGTAGGCAACTTACAACGACCCTAGCTTATTTCCTAATGATTATACCTTTCTCAAAACGACGATGGTAGACGTCACCCCACTTTTAAACGTATTTTCTTAAAGATCGGACAATGCAAAATATTTGCAAACGTTATATTGAGGGGTTAAAAACTGTAGAAATTGTGGCTAATGAAAATCAAAGAGGCTTGTTTTATTTTTCGCATGATTCTTATGACATCTTCTACTCGGTCTTCTATTCCAATACCCCAAACTTAACTATGTGTCCTTTTCTCATTAGCATGTGACATTCGAATGCATTCTGAAAGACATACACTCATTTAAATATAAACATAACTTAATTAATGATAATGATTGTATTAAGGATGTTCGCTACTCTGTTTCAAAATAACAAGCTTTTTAAAAGACTGTTATAAATTGATAGTATATTAATAACGGAACTAAAAAAGAAGAAAAAAATGAAATCAAAAACTATGAAAAAATTACAAGGATTTTACAAGATTTTCAAATATGGCTTTTTAAACTATATGTTATAAAATTATAAAAAAAAGTAGGGCTTAGTGGGCAAAATTTTTAATGGCACTACATGGATAAAACCAGAGGATTCCGAATATCTGACAAAAATTCAAAAACAAAAGGAGCGAACATCCTTAAGAACATATTATACAAACTCTACATTGATATAAATTACTTTTACCTTCAGGGACTGAATACCTTATCAGGGTGGAGTTCAGATGACGTTGAAGATTTGGTAAATGAAGCGCCACCTTTATGTTTGGTATGTAAATTATTATTTCTAGTCACTACTTTTTTGTTCTAGATCTTCATGTATTAAATAACTCATCAAAGATACCTGGCTTATAATTTTGTACAAGCGTTTCGTCTACAAAAGACTGATCAGTGACGCTTGAATAAAAAAAGTTAACCTAACTGAAAAATGAAGTATGAAATGGAAGAGTATTGAGGACCCAAAATTCCGAACGGTTTTGCCAAATACAGCTAAGATAATCTATTCCTGGAGTAGAAAATCTTTAGTATTTCGAACAATTTTAAAATTAGTAAACAGTTAATTTATAAATATGACAATATCAATGACAATTCATGTCAACACAGAAGTGCTATATACGGTATAACACTGAACATTTATTAAATATTAAACTAAAGAACAAAAATAAAACAGGTCAAGGCCACTTTTAAGAAATTACTACAATATTAAATTCACAACAACGGCAAGCCAATATCATCACAGCCATTTTAGAATTATTGTATCAGATAAAACTGCATTAAATAAAATTAACTTTAAAATTCTTTTTGCACCGGATTTAACAAATAATGTCTCATCAATGATGTTCAATGTCCAAAACCTAATACAAACGTAAAAAAACTATAGTAAAGCCAAACCCGGACAACATACAATTATATCTGACAGTGGTGTTAATAATTCAAATACATGGCAAACAACCTTTAGGCAAATGACGGAAGTAGTTATGATTTAAGAGACCTTCCAATATTTAAATCTAATTCTTATTTGTTACATTCGCAGGTAAGCCGAGGTGCTGAGATAGTAATGCTCTCGAAGAAAGTTTTCTTGAAATACGCCAATGACAGATTTCGCAGGACTCTCAGAGAGGAACTAAGGCCGTACCCAACGGAATCAAAGTTACAAGATAAATTTCAGACTAAGGTGGACTGGGACAAATATAAAAGTACACTTTTAGAAGACGTTCTAAAGCAACAATGTAGTCTTAAATATGCAACAGGATTAGTTTAGATACAAGTATACTTGCCATTTATACTTTAGATAAATAAGGTACATGTATACTTTGAAGCTCGACATGATCAAATTCCATCTGCAATTTGACTCTCCATTTCACATTACATTTACTCCTGAAGATCAGTGAAATTTGATATCATCAAAAAGATTTGTTTGATTTTACTTGTATGTTTTGCCAATGCAGGAAATATAGGTTGTTGTAATAGTGTCTGACAGTAAAAACATCCAATATATTTTCACAATAAGTACATTTACTAAATCAAAACTTTGTTATCTTATTTATACAAGTATCATGATGCTAACAATTTAACTATCTTATTGTATCAATTGTCGTTGATTGTGAGAATGTTGTAGATAATAATTTTGTGTTTATCAGTAAAATCAAACGTTTTTATAAAGAATTTTATTACTATGATTAACTTTATTGCGAAAAATAAGACATAGTAAATGCTCTACATTAGCACCGAGAAGGAGTAGAGCTTATTTATAAGCATAAAGAATTTAAAGTTATTAACATATATCATATATACAAGTTGATACACCAATATTTTATGCCACGGGTGCACTCGATTCGATTCATGTACATAACCACGTACTAAATAAATTAAAGTGATAGTTGTACGTTAACTAAACTCCATAACTAGAAATTAAAGAAACAATGACACGGCTTCCTGCGCCTCATATTTAGACTTATACCTCGAATTTGACATAAGCGGTCATCTCAGTACCAGAATCTATGACGAACGAGACGATTTTAATTTTTGAAATTATAAATTTGCCCAACCTATATATCAATACCCCAGCAATATACCTACTTCACCTGCATATGGAATATACAGTTTCAAAATCATTCGGTATTCAAGAGCTTGAAGCTGCTACTCAGACGTTATAAAACGTCACCAGTGTCTGAGCAGAAAGTTGATGAATCAGGGTTATGTCAAAGAACGTCTCGTCCTTTTTCTAAAACAAATCATAGGAAGATACAAAGACAGGGATATGACAGTTGTTTTCCATTCGTTTGATATGTTTGAGCTTCTGAATTTTCCCTGGAGTTCGGTATATTTTTGTTGTTGCTTTTTTTTAAGTCAGTAAACTAAAGAAGTGAATTATGACGAGACCAATCTGTAAAAAGCGTCTGACTCCGATTTCTGTGGGCGCTACATGTGCTTTTGAATTTTTGAATAAACACTCTAAGTCTCCACATAAAAATCCTGCAGATAGAACGCCAGGTAGAAAGGAAAGGAATATTCAGTTCAACGATAAACAAATTCTATTGATATACATTGGAAATTAGATTGGTAAGAAAACACACATGAATACAAATCACGTTCATCAAAATATAATGAAAACATCTAGAATGTGAACATTTACTTCACATTATTTATTTATTTTGAAATATCACCAGGAAAAAAACTATTACATTTTAGCGATATACATTATATGAGCTTAAGTTACTGTGACTGGTGTCCATATGAACAAAGCATAACTTAAAAGCCACAAGTAATTATATATGATTGTAACGAACTGACTATACAGTGAATCTGTTGATATCGGGCATTACATGATTTCGATATATCTGCAGTGTAACATAAATGTTCTGTAATTGATTAAGTTATCCCCAGGGGCAAGCAAGATTAAATTAAAAAGTTCAAGCATCAATTTATAATTGGAATCCCATGATTAATCCCTTTTAACCATTTTCCATAAAAGATTATGAGATCATTACATAAAATTGCTTTCATTTTAAAGCAAATCTTATCAAAATTAAAAATCAATTGTTCAGAGAACAATTGCAGGTCTTTCCACATTAATTTTCAAATTTATTGAAAAGAAGCTAGTTCCTGTTTACTTAAAGTTAAAACTGGCATCCAATCATAAGTTTCTTCATACTGATGCGATAAATAAGTGGTTTCTATATACTTCTGAGTGAAATAAGGGAGATAATGTGCTACTTCCGGTGAAGTAAATATCATTTACGATCTCAGCTTTCACACTGATTCAAAAAATATATAGTTTTTATATACTTTTGCCTGTAAACCAGGAGATAATTGGCCACTTCCGGTTTATCGAAAAACACTTCTAGTATTTGGTGATAAGTTAATGTATTTAAATTACAAAATATATGGATTCCGAGTACTTTTCCATGAAAAAAGTGCAAAAATGATTACTTCCAGTTTTCTCAAGGTCACTTCCGGTTGTCATTTTTCAAGGTCATATGTCACCCAACCTTTTATAAAAGGTTATATGGCTTTATAATGAACCAAATTGAAGTAATGATCAATTAACCTTATAATTTGACATTTCAGGGGCACTAACTCCTATAAGATGTCATTAGATTGTTTCAGATCAAACATTCCTGAGGATGTCACGAACAATTTAGAAAAAGAACTTTTTCTATATCTTTTTTTGTTTCGAAGGAGATGCACTCACTAGATAAACAGTGAATAGGGAGATAACTCATACAAAGAAAATTGTTCGTCTTAGCAGGTGAAATTTAAAAGCGCATCAACTATACGATACAATATGAGAAATATTTAAGCGACATATTGCGAAACAAATATTTATCGCAAGAACAAAATTAAGCGGGAAAAAAAATAATAATTAAAAACCAATTGTTCAGAGAACAATTGCAGGTCTTTCCACAGCAATTTTTAGATTTATTGAAAAGAAGCTAGCTGGTGTTTACTCCAAAGTTAAAATTGGCATCTTATCATAAGTTTCGTCATACTGATGCGATAAATAATTGGTTTCTATATACTTCTGAGTGAAATAAGGGAGATAATTAGCTACTTCTGGTGAGGTAACTCTCACTTCCGGTCTCATAATAGTTTTTTTCACACTGATTTCAAAAATTTATAGTTTCTATATACTTTTGCTTGTAAACCAGGAGATAATTGGCCGCCTTCCGGTTTATCGAAAGTCATTTCTAGTCTTCAGTGATAAGTTAATGTATTAAAATTACAAAATATATGGATTCCGAGTACTTTTCCATAAAGAGAGTACAAAAATGGCTACTTCCAGTTTTCTCACGGTCACTTCCGGTTGTCATTTTTCAAGGTCATATGTCATCCAACCTTTTGTAAAATGTCATATGGCTTTATAATGAACCAAGTTGAAGTAATAATTAATTAACCTTATAATTGGACATTTTAGGGGCACTTACTCCTATAAGATGCCACAAGTTTATTTCAGACCAAATGTAACATATCTTCATTATAATAAAGCAAACATTTTGCACTTGTTGTTTCATATATATATCTTTAAAAGTGTTTGAGAAAATGCAAAAACAAGAAAAGTCAAAATTGAGAACTTGACCTTGACCTTTGACCTTGACCTCATTTTCTAAGTTAGGACCTAGGGACCTCAAATTAAAAGATTCCAGGGTTATATGGTTAATGGTTTATGAGTAAAAAAACATACCGACAAATTCCTGAGGATGAAACGAACAATTTAGAAAAAAGAATGTTGTCGATATCTTTTTTTGCTACGAAGGAGATGCACACACTTGATAAACAGTGAATAGGGAGATAACTCTTACAAAGAAAATTGTTCGGCTTAGAATGGGTGAAAATAAAAAGCGCATAAACTGTATGATACTATATAAGAAATATCTTAGCGAAATATTGCATACATTTTACGCCAAAACAAAATTTGGCGGAAAAAAAATTATAATCAGAACAAATACAATATTTCTTTCCACAGAAAAGTGAAAAGACCTAATAATAATCAGAACAAATATTTGTTTAGGGGCCAGCTGAAGGACGCCTCCGAGTGCGGGAGTTTCTCGCTGCATTGAAAACCCATTGGTTGCATTCGGCTGTTGTCTGCTCTATGGTCGGGTTGTTGTCTTTTTGACACATTCCCCATTTCCATTTTCAATTTTACAATAGTTCATTTCACAGAAAAGTGGAAAGACCTAATAAAATAAGTTTTGCTCCGCATCGTGGGCAAATCTGTATGGTTAACAGTAGCTGTATTTTGTAGTATACAATCTTTCGTTTTTTCCAAAGTTAACTATTATTGGACTGTTTAATACCACCAAAAGATAGTACGTCACATCCGGTTTCATGATAAAAAGGGTCGACATAATCTTTCCCTAGAATTTTCTAACGTAATAAAAAGTCTAGACCAATTATGTTCTTTTGTTTGCAATCCAAGATGGCGGAAGACAACCGTTTCATCTTAACATAAATGTCTTCTCTATGGATGGTGAACATGCACCTTTAACCTTGTATGCACTATCGTTTTTTGAAGTTCTATCCTATTTTACTTAAATATTGCAAAAATGGAATATGACGAGTAGATTTAGACTCAGAAAGCACATTTCAGGGAAAATTGACAGTAGGTCTCTACCATGAATGATTTTTCACGTAAGTAAGCAGATCAAATCATATTTAGTGTTTTGGGGTGTTTATTGTTCTGAATCTTTCTACCTATTCCCTATATTGGCCTATGGCAGACATTCTTTTTGATTTGGTGTTTCTAAAAAATGTATTTTGGAAATTTGAGGTGAGATGGTTTCCTAAAGCTTGTAAACCGGAAAAAGAGGTGAACATTTGATTGGGTAACGTCTTGTGATTTTCTTATATGCAATGAGATGTTGTTTGTAATTTTCACTGTAGTACTAGACAGGATAAAACTTTATTCATGCCAACTATTTCTTTACTTTGAGTAAAAAGACAAATTCTGCCCTATTTTTGAAAAATGCCATGTTAACAAAGTCGAATAGGAGGCGGGGCCGAGGGCCGGGGGCCGGGGGAAAATATTGGTATTACACATGTATCTCTTGTCTGAATCTCTTAATTTCTGGGAGAAGACGTTAAACGGCTGTGATCTAGGACCATAATAATTTTTAAATATTTGGGTTACTAATCATCAAGTTGTGGTACATAGATGAAGCTATATTAAGTTTATATCTGATTTTTATGTCACCATCTTTAACTATCCATCATGAACAACTACGACGAGGAGTTTTAAATCCTGACTAGAGACAACCAATCAATAAACCATTGTTTACAAATAAAACAGTGTAAATCAGATCAGAACAAGACAGTCATCATAAACGCGACCATCTAATAAATATCACAAATGCCGAACATTTATATGTATTTAAACGTTTGCGTAATTAGTATCACATACAAGTTACATATTTGATGTATATGAGAGAGGCGAAAGATACCAAAGGAATATTCAAACTCGTGAATCGAACACAAACTGACAATGCCATGGCTAAAAACAAAAAATGACGCAATGTCAAACAGTACACAAAATCACAACTTAGAAAACTAAAGACTGAGCAACACAAACCCCACCAAAAAACCGGGGGTGATCTCAGGTAATCCAGAAGGATGTCAAAGGTTTCATTAAAAGGATTGCAAGTTTTTATTTTGACTTTGTATCATAAGAGTTAACCCACACTTAAATTTACTTCAATACAAAACAACGGAAATCTCTAAAACTTTACTGAAGTTTTTTGATGTTCAAGATTCTTATTTCATTGCAACAATTTTTATCTCACCAGGGCCCGAAGGGCCCCATGTGAGCTTATGCCATCACTTGGCGTCCGTCGTCGTCCGTCGTCTGTCGTCGTCGTCTGTCGTCTCTGTCATCGTCTGTCGTCGTAAACTATTTCAAAAATCTTCTCCTCTGAAACTACTGGGCCAAATACCTTCAAACTTTAACTAAATGTTTCTTAGGGTATCTAGTTTATAAATTGTATCCGAAGTTTTGATCCATCGACAAACATGGCCGCCATGGCTAAAAATAGAACATAGGGGTCAAATGCAGTTTTTGGCTTATATCTCAAAAACTAAAGCTTTCAGAGCAAATCTGACGTGGGGTAAAATTGTTCAATTGGTCAAGATCTATCAGACGAATCGAACAACCCATTGTTGGGTTGCTGCCACCGAATTGGTAGTTTTAACAAAATTTTGCAGTTTTTTGTTATTATTTTGAATATTATTATAGATATATATAAACTGTAAGCGTCAATAATGTTCAGCAAGGTAAGATCTACAAAAAAGTTAATATGACCATAATTGTCAATTGACCGCTTAAGGAGTTATTGCCCTTTAAAGACAATTTTACACAATTTGTTCATCAAGTTTGCTAACATTTAAAAATCTTCTCCTCTGAAACTACTGGGCCAATTACCTTCAAACTTTAACTAAATATTCCTTAGGGTATCTTGTTTATAAACTGTATCCGAAGTTTGTATCCATCGACAAACATTGTCGCCATGGCTAAAAATAGAACATAAGGGTCAAATGCAGTTTTTGGCTTATATCTCAAAAACTAAATCTTTTAGAGCAAATGTGATAGGGGTAAAATTGTTTAATTGGTCAAGATCTATCTGCCCTGAAATTTTCAGACGAATCGAACAACTCATTGTTGGGTTGCTGCCACCGAATTGGTAGTTTTAACAAAATTTTGCAGTTTTTGTTATTATTTTGAATATGATTATAGATATATATAAACTGTCAGCAGCAATAATGTTCAGCAAAGTAAGATCTACAAATAAGGTTAATATAACCATAATTGTCAATTGACCGCTTAAGGAGTTATTGCCCTTTAAAGACAATTTTACACAATTTGTTCATCAAGTTTGCTAACATTTAAAAATCCTCTCCTCTCTCTGAAACACAGGTGAGCGATTCAGGCTATTGAGAGCCTCTTGTTTAAAGACTTTTAACTAATCAAATATAATTGTTTACATACACTGCAACCACAATGCCAATGTGATGATTCGTTATACTTTTAATAACATTTCTTCATTTGCAATTAAAGGACTTAAATACTCTATTTTTTCGTTAACGTAAATTATTGTGAGATACAAAATATTACCGACATTCTTTCATAGAAAATTCCATAAGACTATGTATGAATATTGTTTTTGAAAGAATATAAAAAATAAAATATTTAATTACAATAATAATATTTCTTGTATTCTACTTTAAAAGGGATATTTCAAATGAAAGGTATATAGTTTTTAATTCAGTTGTTTCTAATTATTTTTATATGTTTTCGCTTGTTTTCCCAATTCAACTCATTCATCTTGTTCGTCAAATATTCTGAATTTTTATTTAAAAAAAACGAGTGTGTGTCCGTTACATGCATTTGATTAAACATGTACATGTACACATCTTGCAGACGTCTCAACATACTCGATTTTCTCTGCAATCATATTATAGAATCCTATTAAATCAAAAACTTATTATTAAAAAGATTAAGGGCTTATAAACAAAATCGGGAAAAAATATAGCCAACGCTAAACTTGTGAAAGCTTCAGTGTAAACGAGACATACAACGTCACCCATAATAAAGATACATGCTATAGTAACATGAATCAGAACAACAGATTAAACTCAGAATTAGATAATAATTAAGATGCGTATGATGATGGTGATGATGGATGGCTGCTTAACGTCCAGCGGCAAATTAATATGCATATTCAGGACGAGAACATGTAAATGTAATATAAATATTTACCCTGCTTTGTACTGGACCGACACGATGAGTCGGATTTTTAACATGCTGGTTCATAAGGTCCGCAGGAAGATATGTCACCTTACCTGGACAAATTATTCTGACTCTGAGCCGACCAGTTTTTGCTCTTACTTCTTAATGCCGCGTGCTAATCGGAGAAGCAGCAAATACAAATTCTAAAGTCTTTGGTTTGACCCGGACGGGATTCGATCCCACTACCTTTCGCACTCGAGGCGAACACGATACCACGGGATCAACGATGCGGTTGAAATGCTAATGTAAACCTTTCATATATGACAGAAAAATTTACAAATATCTTTACATGTACAATACTTGAAATCAACATGTTTTAGTCCTTCTTTTGTCGAATAATCGAAAACGTGAGGTCTTCAACACGGAGCAAAACGCATTTAGACAACCACGCGGCACATCGAGTTTTATTCCTGGCAGCTATGACATAAAATTATGACCTTGATAGTTTTATCATTGTAATTTATCGTTCTATTCAACGCTAAAATAAATAGTAGTCTAAAACCACATTTGTACTGTATTTTGTAATTACTGATTCATATGATATTTGTACCCATGCAATAATTCATGGGCATGATTTAGTTAGAATATGTAAATTTCAATATTTTGGTTCGAATGCGAATATTTTTAGTAAAACATAAACAATTTAAGGTCTGGGCTGGCTTAATTTGACCTTAATGACCTTATGCGGTTTTAAATTATTTCATTTATGCATTCTCTAATAGGCCCCATTCTGCAATTGTAAACTTCATTGAATTGCAGTTGTTTTCTTTCTCTGACTGTTCAAAAAAAATACATATTATCTTGAAATTCGTAATGATTAGAAATTAAAAAAAAAAAAAAAAATCATCTTGATATCGTCTATCAAGATGAACTAGAAATTAAGAACAAACATGAAAAACAAGAATCGATGTACTTTCAGCTATCAAAAAAATACAAAGCAGACAGTAATTGAATAAATTATCAGTTTCAATAATGTAGAAGTCAACTGACCTTTTTATTTTATAGGGGGTCCTCGTACCTTTTGTGCTTACTATTTTGGTAATTAGATTTCTAGCTTTTCGTCAATGTAAGACGAAGAATTCAAAATGTCAGTGGTACCCTTTATTTCAAGTTCAATTGGATAAATACAACCAAGAAAGTCATCTCATTTTGAACAATCTAGTGAATGGAATGCTGGATTTTCGTACATGTAGGTCAAAGTCACAAACCTACTTATTACAAATTCTTTGTCATTTGTATAATATGTTTGCATAGAAATTGACGGGTGTCATTAATGGAACAGGAGCATCTCACCCGTCCGGAGCACCTTGGGTCAACCCTTGGTTTTAGTGGGGTTCATGTTGCTAAATCTAGTTTTCTGTGTAATCTTTCCCATATTCTTTTTTTTTTTGTTATTGTTTTGATTGCCCATTTTGGAATCTACTCTTTTTTAAAGTAAACATTTGAAACTTTGGATAGTAACTGCTTGGAATGTGTATCGTGAAAAGGTTAATGTCAAAAACTTAACTTAACTTAATACTGTATAGACCATAGAAGATTGGTCACTTTAATTTTACAAATGTTAAAGTCTATTCAGATAGCAACACGACTCCTCATTGACATTTAATCAATGGAATGTTCTTGTTTGTGTACAGTTCCATTTTTAGTATATGTGACTAGGAATTGAATCTATCAGAAAACATTTTAAAAGTATTTGTTTTTTTTTGTTTTAATTAATACTACATGGTTAATAAATATACAGTTTTTAGTGACATTCTTGTACCGTTTGTAATGAATGCATTTAAACATGTGAACATTTAATGAATACATTTCGTCTTATGATAATAGGAATTCTCAATTTGCTGATTCATATCACTTATAGGCTACAGTTCAAGGCTTAAATATCTAGACTTATTCTAAATGACTTCGTTCTAGTATTATCCAAAATATAATATAATATAATAAAAACCGCAATTTTTATACGTGTGGAAGCAAAACAAATTTCTTGTTAGAGGGGTCTAAAAACAGCACAAACAACATTTTCCAAAAGACCAAAAAAGTGAAAAAGTATATTTTAACAAAACGCATTTGACTAACATGTCGAACAACAAATGTTCTTAAACCCTACTGACTGCCATTGGCGATTGCCAAATAAACGGATCACTGATGTAATAAATGGATCTTAATTTTAAATTTAATACTAAACAGAAAACAATTAACTTGCTGAAAAGATGATATACCGCAAACAAAAGGTGCAAAGGTTTTTGTACACCATATCCGGATTTCGACAAATAATGTCTCTTCAGTGATGTTAGGAATCGAAACGGTTTTTGGAAAGCCCAACAATTTACCTCAATTTAGGATAGACTCTTGAAATTTGAGGAGTCAAAATAGGATGAACGGATCATATAAACCCCAAGGCAAATATAATACAAGCCCAAACGAAAAAATATAAACAAGTCTAAATTAAAAACAACGTTCAAAACTATGATTGCGTTGGATAAAAACCGCAATTTTTATACGTGTGCATGCAAAACAAATTTCTTTTTAGAGGGGTCTAAATACAGCACAAACAACATTTTCCAAAAGACAAAAAAAGTGAAAAAGTATATTTTAACAAAACGCATTTATATATATATATATATTTAGACCCCTCTACCAAGAAATTTGTTTTGCATGCACACGTATAAAAATTGCGGTTTTTATCCAACGCAATCATAGGTTTGAACGTTGTTTTCAATTTAGACTTACAATATATAATTAGTAGATTTGGTATATTTCTTGTTGTTTGTATTGGTATTACACACTGAATTATATGCATGGCGATTTGATTTTTGTTTCCTTCACAAAGGGCATTGTTGTTTGCTGTAGAAATATTGTTTCATGCATATCCCATGGAAAGCTGAAAGATATCAAATACTTGTTGATTGACGTATTACACTCTATATATTATAAAAGAATAATCTATTAGCAAGCGTTCTCAATCCGTTGCAATCAAGATTTGTGCCAAATGTTTAAAGCAAAACGTTTGACCTTACTCAAATGTACGAGAATACTTTGAACGAACAGTCTGCTAAACAAGACCTTGGCATGTCGGACCTTAAAGAGCTTGCTATGCAGTATTGCATTTGCTCATTTTCCGAGGCCATACGGTGACTTATGATAGCGAACATATATGTCATTTGTTCTCTGGTTGATTATTGACTCATTGATAAACATACCATATGACATTAATTTATATTGATGTAGCTGTTGTGTTTTTATCTGAAACATTTTTGAATAATTGTGAAATGTCAATAGCATTGAGTTTTTCTTATATTTTCTACTTGATATAAGATATTGTGATGAATTTGTTTGAGGAATAGATATGCTGTCACATCTGGAATAACATTCATACACAAAATGAATACTTACAATGGATGCATGGTAGTGCAACAACTGGTCATTATTGTTTAGATTCTGAAAATATAACACATTTGGAACCTATAAAATATACAACGTTATGATAAAATTTAACAAAGAAGCAAGATAATAAAACAAAAGAAAATTCCCAAAATAAAAAAAATAAATACCCAAACACTGGATAAATATTCTCAAGTTTTGCGATTTTTCATTAGGATTGTTTCAAACACAATATTTGAATATTAAGTTAAAAAGAATTGGATAAATGTAAACAAATTTAGTATCATAAATATGATTTGTGAACACGTTTCATTCATACCTGTTCGCGGAAGCTCTGTAGTGAGCACATAATCACCATGTGACGAAGGAGGACAAAATATGTTGCACACACATTGTTTCATCTTCTGAAAACAACAACTCACACAGTATAGCACACCGCATATCAATATCGATCCAATTGGTAGTCCTACGAATCCAAGTAGCAGGTATAGCTAAGGAATATAAATATGTATCAATATATTGATAAAAAACAGTTGCACGAATTACCTGCTAAAATACATAAACTCATTATTGCTAGTAAAAAACTTGTAAAGTAAACACTAAGAAACGACGGCAGATGAAATTTTCAAGTGCAAAATATAACTATCAGAATGAATAATGATGAATAATACACAAAAGCAAAACGAATTGTATTCATATAAGTATGCATATTTGCCACCCTTTTTACCCCCTATTTATCATCATTTTTTATTTGCAATCAAAACTCCTCTCGTCATCTCACTTTGCACAATGTACATGATGATTCTTTTGTTATTTTATCTCGTCCGAATTGTACGAATTGTGCCACTAGACTTTAAGCAAACAATACACTCTGTAACATTAAAAACACAAAACAATTACTTACAAAATCAATATCATATCCACCTTTGTAATTTCCACTATAGGGATCTTCAGCAGGTAATCCAAGTACCATCATTTAAGTTCTATTTTGTCACCAGGAAGACAGTGTAACTTACTGAAATATCAAGGGATTTCCAGTCTAAAAATACCGGGACGAAAAAATATATTTATGAAAAAAAAAAAAACACCAATACCTCTATGTCATATATGATTTATAGCTATTTACAATTTATTCGACAAAACATTTAAACTTAGTTTTTTTATAAATTTGTGATACGTGGACCGTGAAATTTAAATTAAAGGTTATATTTAGAAATTTCCAGTAAGTGGACGCAATGATTGTTACAAAGATGTGTACTTCTGACCTTTGTAATGTTACAATAAATAGGCGTCTTCATTTTATTCATAGTTTTTTTTTAATATAGTATAAAATTTTCTTAACATTTGAAAAAAAAAAATTCTCTTTCGTTGAGATCTGTTTTTATTGGTTGTTATTGATTACTGATGTTACATTTAAACTACTTATATCATTATAGTATATCAATTTCCCATTGGGATTAATATACCATATGACACAGATGTAGACAATACCTGTTTTGTGTCTTTAAATATGAGTTTTTCTGTCTTTCAAAGCAAAAACAATGTACAAAATTAATTGCTGGATAAAGACAAAACCTGTTTAGTATCTTTAAATATCAGCTGTATTTGTACGAGGCTAAGAAACAGGTGTAATCCGAAAAGACAGAAAAAACTCATATGATTTATTGCATGTATTGTCGATTTAAGATATATAAGTCTATGAGAGCCGCGTAGTAATATTACAAAAATAATCACACAATCAGCTGATGACCAGTACGCCGAAAAGAATCTCGCATGGTCATCAATAATACATCGCTCAAAGTTAATAATTATTTGTTATAACATAATAACTAATTTCAACAGTAAAAAGATATAACAAAGCATTGTCCGATTTAAGATAAAAGAGGGATGAAAGATACCAGAGGGACAGTCAAACTCACAGATCGAAAACAAACTGACAACGCCATGGCCCAAAATAAAAAGACAAACAGACAAATAATAGGACAGATGACACAACATAGAAAACTAAAGACTAAGCCACACGAACCCCACCAAAAACTGGGGGTGATATCAGGTGCTCTGGAAGGGTAAGCAGATCCTTCTCCACATATGGCACCCGTCGTGTTGCTTATGTTATTACAAATCCGGTTAATAGTCTTATTCGTTTAATAAAAGTGTATGATTTGTCTTATGCTTCAGGAATTTGAACTAATCGTGACATTCATTGATTATTGACATGGTTGTATGGTTGATTGTGTGTGTTACACATGTACACATGCAAATCAGTGAATTGGGCTTTAAAGCGATATATAGTATACAAATATAGGCTAGCGATATCTGTTTGGCTGTTAATGTATGATAAGACACCCAATTGCAGGATGAATGATCGTTTTAATGTCTTCCCTGTCACTAGGAATGTAACTTACTTACAAATCTAGGAATTTCCAGTATAAAATCACAAGAACGATAAAAACATATTTAAAAAAAACCCCTCTATTCTATATATATAGATTCGACACAACAATTTAACATTAGTTTGTAATAAATATGTGGTATCTGGACCTTAAAATTTAAATATAAAGTAGATATTGTTAAATTGGGGTAAAAAGTAAAATAACAAAATAACCGAACTCCACGGAAAAACAAAACGGAAAGTCCTTTATCAAATTGCAAAACCAAAAGCTCAAACACATCAAACGAATGGAAAGCAGCGGTCATATTCCTGACCTGGTACAGACATTTCCTTATGTAGGAAATGGTGAATTAAACCTGGTTTAAGAGCTAGCTAACCCTCTCACTAGTATGAAAGTCATATATGATTCCATTATATTGACAACAATGTGTAAGCAAAACAAATAGATAAAACATAACAGGTAAAAATGTCAACATTGTGTTTTATTCTTAATCATTATAAAAACAGTTACGGTCGCTATGGGGTATTGAATATAAACTCTATAGGAAGATTGTTATTTCATCATTTAAATTAAAAATCTTAAATAGAATAGCAATGTCCTTCTATCATAAAAAAGGTAAATTAAGAAAATGTGAGTATTATCGTCTATGGAGGAAAGACTATCGTTTTCACTCTAAAATGTATGACTGTTTGTTTCGATTTTGTTAAGCCTTTCGATTTTGAAGATGTTTAAGTATTTAACATTCCTCATGTTTATCTAAATTGAACCGGAATATTAAGTAAAATTTAAATAATGAAATATTACATTTGTTGTATGCCATACCATTTGATACTTAGAGTGATCATATACAGCATTAGGGATGACACTGTTATTCATAAACACACACATTGCCATTCGAACTGTATACTGTCTTTCCTAAGAAATAAACTTATTTTTAGATAATAATGATGCAAAATTGGAAATAGAAAAAAAAAAATATTTATTTATTTGGTAAACACGGAATATTATAGAACCAACATGTATCATTTTAGTGATAGAGTTTTCTCACCCAATTTTGTCAATATAATGGAATAATAAACAGCTGACATACAAGTTTGAGGTTCAACTAGCCGAATCTAACCCACCATTTTCTTCGGAAAATACCCGTATCAAGTTAGGAATATAATAGTTGTTTTTCGATCGTTCCGTTGGTTGATAACATTTGGTATTGTAAGTTGTTACGGTTTCCATTTTTGAATTCACCTTGAAGATCGGTATTTTTCTTATACTTTTTTAGCATTATAAGGTAAATACGACTAACTTCACTCGCCGTCCACATTAACTAGAACAGTTCTAAATCATGATAATAAATAAAGCTGTTCTAATTTCTAACAGCTAACTTCTACTAGAAATAGCACAGATCCTGACAGTTCTAACCGAGAACTTATTCTGGTAGCTCTACCCTTAAACTGTTCTAGAGTAGAACTGTTCAGGAACAGTTTAGATCAGTTGTATGACAGATCATTCTGACATATTTAAAACGAAGTTAGATATGATTCTAACTGTACTCCACATTACGGTTTATTTTTTATGAATAATATCACTGTATCGATGCAACCCGAACATCCAGCCCCATCTTATGTAATTAAAAGATGATATTTCCCAATCACAAAAAAAAAGTATGTGCCAAAGTTGTTTGTCATGTTTTGTACAAACCTACAAAATGTAAATTTGCTATCTTTCGACCGTTCAAGTTCTGTGAATGTTAAATAAATTTCAAATACCTTACACTTCAAACTCCATGCATACTTAAAAATATTATTTTCTTAAAAGTGCCACGACTTTGTAATATTCTGATGTTATAACGAGAGTAGTCCTGAATATAGACATGAAATATTTGTCACTAGACGTAATGAAAACAACAACCAATCATACATTTGGTAGATAATTATCTGATGAATGAATATGGTTCAAAAGACAATCATGTTATTATACGACAAAAGGGACACTCTTGCAAAGAGCCACTTATGGAGATTACTGTAATCCATAAGTGGTTTTCGAGTTCAAGAACACGAATACAAGAACGCATAATATACCCGGACTTTGTGTATTATCAGTCAATTCGTGTACCAAATACTAAGACCGATGTAACTACATATAAATCTTATTCATTTACTTATTCACTGCAACTTCATACCCTAGGAAATAATGCCTCAATTGCATATTGCAAAACCTTTAGGAAATTAAGATATTCAATGCTCTTGAATTTCGTGCTTCTTATGGCTTTTTATTATATATGTATAAATATTTCGGGATCGAGCATCACTGATGCGTCTTTTTGACGAAACGCAGATCACGGCTGTAATTCGGTATATCGAGAAAAATGATCGTGAAAGAATACTTAACGGTGGTCAAGCATTGCGATCGCATCGGGAAAGATTTGGTTTAGGATCGTGAATGTAATTAATTGTAATTCTACTTCACAATCTGTGAAAAATCTGCTGTATTTTCCAAACGCATCCAACATATCCGAAAAAAAAATATGTTTGTCAAAATGATTCAACTTTCTCAATAATACTGTGCAATAAGATAAAGAAAATATGCAGTACTTTATGAGAAAACAAAAAAGCCGCAACACAAGTCTATGGAATTCATTAAAAAAAACAACACGTTTTGTACCTATAATGGTCAAATTCAATATATAATGATATATGTCAAAAGCTGAATCTTTGGTGTGTCAGATAGTATAGTAAGACCAAAGGTTTTTTCCTCTTGAAACCGTTCATTTTGGTTTTGAAAACATTGCCTTTTGTTGATTTTTCATCAAAAGTGATCGTGAACGATCGAACAACGCATTATCTTGATCGTGAAAGACAAGGCGTGACCAGAGAGACGCAGGACGTTTGTGGTTTTTTTTACCTGCAACCCTCAAGGACATTTGAGCTTTAAACTTTGATACACCTGAACAAAATTAACAAGAGATTTGCGCTTTATACCTATTATAGTTTACCTGTAATACTTAGAAAAAACGACAAAATCAGAAAAAAATATTCGGGTCACCCAGACATACATGTATTATAAAGAATATTGTATACGTTTCTTGGTAAACGATAGAGAAAACGAAACTTTTAAGGATGGAACATTAAAATTTTGGCCGAAATTCTTTAACTAGCTTTCTTATTAGTGGATTAAAATTGAAAACTATATTCCTCTTGTGGTTATTCTGTTGCATAAATAGTCTGCGGAACTGTACCATCATAGTTTATCTAAGCTTGTTTCAAATTGTAAAGACCGAAATTTTATTTTTAAACCATCAGCTGTACCTGTTGGCTTTCAGACAGAATCATGGTTGTTATAAGGAATTTACTCTCATCCACCCTCTTGGAGTGTTTTCATCTGACACAAGCATGATTGGGGAAGGTTGATGCTTTTAGCTGTATATAAATTTATGAATGTTTTGTGTTTATTTTATATTAAATGTTTTTTTATGTTATGCTTCCTCCGCTTCATTTTTAGACTTATACCTCGAATTTGACATACACAGTCATCTCAGTACCAGAACCTATGACAAACGAGACAAGTTTGATTTTGAAATTATTAATTATCAATTTCCCCCACCTTAGTAGCAATATAACAACTTCATCTGCTTATGGGATATACATTTCTT